ATGCTCTCGGATTTTCTCTGGTATCCTATCGGCTGTCAGCTCTAAGCTGCATGCCTGATCCTCAATGTAATGGGGTTATTTATCTCTTAAATGGACGATCCTCCCCGTCAAGTTCACTCACATACTTAGAGTGTGTACGCTTGCAAAGGGACAGTGAGCATGCACGCACACAAAATGAGAACCACATTGAGCTTTTCGTTTGTTCTCCTCGGTTTTCTGAGACAAATTTAGAGCGTATGAATCATATTTGTCTCTCTTCTGTGTCCTCTAGTTCTCCTAAATCATTCTGCTTCATCATTCACGACACTGCTGTCCCTCTGGGCTTTCCAGAAAGAAAGATTCACTGATTGCCACATGGCAGTTGGCAATAACACTGATCCGTCTATCAGCGGTCCTTAAGTTGTGTGTCTCACAGGTTTGTAACTTTTCCAAAATCTTGCAGATGCAGAAAAGCACAAAAGACGTGCATTTGTTGTTCACTTACTTTGAGTGAAAGAATGCAAAGTTTTGACATTATGTCGTTTTTGAGCAACAACCTCAACGACTGTTACAGTAATCAGCAGTGAAGTCGTCCTCAGGGTGGGTCCAGGTACTGCTGCCATTTTGAAATCCATGACTCGATATCATCATCAGCACATGCAAATAATGCCCATCAAAAAGAATGTATTTTTTGCACATAAAGTATACTTAATGACACGAAATGAGCCTGTGACCTCTGAGAAGCTGAATGAATATTTGGAAGAATATTTCCATACATAACATTTTCCACTTTGCTGCAGAATGCAGAGCGGAGCTCTGTTAACTGGCAGGAAAACCCAGACGTGCTGCACTACCACACATCCTGACTGGCACGCAGTAAAGTACGCAGAGCAGCCTCAGAAGCTTGATGTATTGTTAAGAGTAAATGTATCAGTGCAAAGGCTATTATGTAGAAAGGTGATGTAGTGATGACGGGGGACCGTGACTCCTCCGGTGTGGCACAAGGCAGAGAATGAGAAGTACATTTTCATACTCAAACTGCTGTGACCTGGTGTGGAAGTCTGTAACTTAATAAGCCACTCCGTTCATGGCATCAGCAGATTGGAAACATTTGGTGGAAAAAAAAGAATCTAAATTATTGTCTTTTTCCATACTCAAAATCACAACCAGTCCTGCTGGGGAGACGTGCGCACACTTGACTGAGCTGTGAAAGACCTTCTGCACTTGGCCGCCCCGCAACAATCGTTTTCCAATCGCCTGCAACTACTGGAAGGAGGACATCCAGGAGGATGCAGAAGAAACTGAGCAGTGCTGATCTTAAAGTTTTAACATGTAGCTTTCACATTTACATCAGTTCTCTTAAGGGCCTGATGGCTACAGTCTTGTGGACGAGAAGTTGAAAGTCAGATTGTTTCCTTCAGCATCATCAACTACTTGGAAAACATCAACGGATGTGTGAATATGTATTTCTTTTGTGTCTTTTCGGTCGGCGCTGCGTATATAAGGCATGACGTATCTGTGATGACAAAAGCAGATTGAGGACAGTGCGCCTGACGCCTTGTTCTCAATAATACGCATCCTTCAGCGAGGGAAGAAAGAAGGGACACGCGATAAAAGAAAAGAAACCAGAGTAATAGAATAAGGGGCTGCCATAGTACAAAATCTGAGAGAAATTAAAAGCTTTGGCTTAATTTCTGGTATGAAAGAAAAAAGAATATGGGGAAACTCACCTTCGCTCGTTTTTCACAGCGTGAGAAGCCCCAAGAAAGTTCTTGCAGCTTTACTGCATGGATAAAAAGAGCATAAACATACTTATTAGTGATTGCACTGAGAGAATGATGAATCCGAAAAACATACGTGTTTATGGAAAGAATCAGGAGAAAGGAATGACTAGTGTAATCTGTAACAATAGAATCTCAATCTGAGAAAATAGTGCTAAAAGAAGTACTCAGATACTTTAATAAAGCAACAGTACCAGTAAAACGATGTATAAATATGCCAGTAAGTAAATGGCTGGATTCGAAATGTCAAAAAATGCCGTCTATTCCTAACCACTATTCCTTGACCCCTGTGGAAAACTTCATGAGGTCAAGGAAAGATGGTTAGGAGAATTTATGAGGATTTAGGAAAAGACAACCGCGGTGTTTAGGGAATCCAACTCCACTTTCACTAAGATATGTAGTTCTGATGTTAGTGACGTCACTCTGCAGCGGTTCTCCTAAGATGGACTACAAAGAAGCATCTTGGATGTCTTCGTCCGTGTGATCGTCATTTCTCGTGTCCGGCCGAATGATAGGTCACAATTGAAATTTTGCCGCTGCAAGGAATTGGAGTTGTCTCCTTTCTGTCCGTAAAGGATGGTCCAGTGGTTCCTATGCTAAAGGAGCTAAGTAGGGACGCATTGAAGCTCCTTTCCTTAGCAATGTTGTGGCACCCACTTACACTACGTCCGGGTCATTTCACAGTCAGGAACCTTCAAATTTAACTATTCAAATCCCCCCTAGTGCTGGATTCAGATTCCTTTACAAATCCAAGCGAGAGATGATCAACCAGATGTACGTAGAGTGTACAAAGTACTCATTATAACAAGAAATACCCCTGTGAGTGCTACATTATAAGAATATTTTATTGTTTTTACTGGTGCATCAAGCAACAATAAGTCTTCTATTTTATATTGTAGATTTAAATTGTAAATTTGTAAAATGAACATGTCAGAGCTAATTAGATTGCTTGGTAGTTTAGTTCTGTGTTTTCTAATACATGGGCCCGGCCAATCCAAAGGGTCCCAACTGTGATTCATCTATATGCAAATTTCAGCAATACAAATCTCGGTTTCAGTCCTCCCCCTCAGTCCTTTTTTTGTGATTTTAAGAATAATTTTATCACTTTGGAAATCAAACAGTTACTCAAATGAAACCATCTGAGAAGTTCAAAGGGGGAATCTCCCTTCGGTGGAGACTGGTCACAAACCAAAAGTGCCGTATTTCCCTCTGGAATGTAATGGATTAGAGCTATAAAAGTTACATCAAGTGGAAAACACATAAATAAGTAAATGGGCCACAGAGTGAATGGCCTCTTACTTTCCACTACTGGGAAGACAAAACGAAGACAAAATAAAAGCAGACAGTAGATGATGAAAAACAAAAGAATAGATTTTTGTTAATGTGGTCGTGTCTGAGTGCCATGGTTCACCTCACCACAGCTAAATTAATTTCATGGACAAACAATCTCATCAGGAAAGCAGGTTTGGTCAAACTGGTTACTAACCATACTGCATTTTATGATTCATTTGTGTTTAATGGCTTCTGGCGAGATGACGGCCGGGGTTCCGCTGTGTCTGTTTAGGGACTTCCTCAGGAGACACATCCCCTTTGGCCTGTGACATCATATCCTGTCCCGTGTGAAGACATGTGGGCTACAAACGACTGCAATGGGATGTGGAGATGTTGGAGGACACACAGACATTGTTACGCCCTCCTCTAAAGAGAGGATACCGTAACTCGCTGTCCCACGTCAGCTGGCCAAAAGGTGGGTGAGGTAAAAAAATTGCGTGGGCGCACAAGTAGGACCAACAAAACAAAGTACCGTTTAAACAAGGTTTATTTCACCTATAATACGGTATTGGGGGAAAAGGGGCTGAGCGCAACCAAAGCAAAGAAATTAACCAATGAAAAAGACCCCTAACCTATCTAGTCTAAACACCACCTGCTAAACTCTGATAAATACAGGGGGTGGTCCGCCCAGGTCTTACCTAGTGTATATAGACAGAAGTTTATCTACGGGTAGTATGTAAGACCCAGGGTCTCTTACCTACACACTCCCATTGTGCGGCCCCCTTTTCCCTGGGACAACGGAAGAAACAAAAAAATAAACAGTACAAACAACGTGATTACCACAGACAGAATAACAACAACTTAACCTTCACCAGTTCAAATGACCCAAATTCATATGTAAACAAAAACACAAGAACTGTCACTTGAACCCAGCTCCGCTCAAAACAATAGTTCCTTCCAAAAAGTTATTTTTCGCAACAGTCCTTCCACTCTCTCCACCAGCTCTGCCTCTCGGTCTCTCCCTCCCGACCTGCTTTTAAGCCACAGCATCCTGCAGTTGATTGGCTGTGGGTGAGGGTGATTAGTGGCTGCAGGTGGGAGCGGGCAGTGGAGATGACTGCATGGTGGGTGTGTCAGAACACCTGTGGGAACACAAGTCAAAACACACACACACCCCCAAGCAGGCCGAGGCACGTAACAGACATGCACGTGCAAGCAAACGTGTGTGTGCGTTGCACAAAATCAAACACCCCGTTCTGGCTGAGAGTTTTGGCTGATCAGGATTAAAAGGCTCTAGGAAACAGACACAGGCGCACACACACACACACAAACACACAAACACACATAAACTGATCTCATTTTAAAATGAACTTACAAGTTCATTATACATACATAATAAAAAAATGTATTTCTAAAACGCTTCCACCGTGTGTTTGAATATTTAATTAGGCAACATAGTGGCTGTTATTTTGTCAGCTGATATGCTGTGCATGTGATGTCATTGTTTTTTTTGTTATCGGATGCATTGCTTCAGGTATTGGATCACTTGTTTCACGCAATGAATTGTCTCATACTCTCTCAGGAGCTCCAGTTTCCCTCTGCAAACCGTTGCTCTTCATGACGTTTCATGCTTGCTTCCAAAGCCCTGATTTCCCTGTGCTCAGAGTGAGAAAAGAAAAAGAGACAGAGGAAAAGAAATAGAGAGTGAGAACAATTAAAAGCATCAAAGGGCCTGTGCGGATGGAAAGTAGGATTGCTGGGCACACACCAGACTCATAAGAGAGAAGAAAAGGGTAGTCTGGAGCGGCAGGAAGCTTGGAGAAAACTTTCACTCCTTTTCCAGAGAAAAACCGTGTGAGATGGAAAGTGAAAGAGAAGGAGAGGTGGGGGTGTGCAATGTGAGTGGGTGTGTCCGGCACCGTCTGCTCCCTCCCTCCATTGTCGAGGTATACATGCTGCAGGAGCAGCCAGAAGTCCATTTCAGTGAGCTGCACTAGTCCTGAGAGCCACCAGCTCAGAGAAGTAGTCCAGCCACTCCAGTCACGCTAAGCCTGAGCTGCAGCACACATTAACTCCACCTGTTGGCAAAGATTGAATCAATCAACAAGGTGACAGCATCTTATTTCTGTGTCTCACTCTGAACGGAGTTGGAGACCACAGCCGAGCTGATGATGGGGATGCAGCAACACCCACGCCGCTTTCAGGTCCTTTTTCTCATGATTTTCATCACTGGGATAGTTCTCTCCGGCCCTTCGACTCCTCGCAGGAGCAGAGGTAGGTGATGCTTGCATCAGTTTTAACCACATCTGGAGACACAGCTTAATGCATGTAAGTTGTTTTTATTTGTTATGATGTCCCCTACGTTCCCAAACGCATGCACATCAAAGCCTGTGTGATTGTCCTCCCATGGAAACCCTGTGATTCACTGATGGCTTTCCACGGCTTCACTCTGCCTTCTGCCAAAGACATGCTGGGACACGCTTGGAGACACATTATGTCATATTTTGATGTGTTTTTGTTTCAAGGATAAATTACAAGAGAAAAGGTTTTGCACGCATATTGAGACAACCGTCGACTACAAAGCATTTTCAGTGATGGATCCGGTTTGACAAATACAAAATTCTAAAAAGAATTGGAAGCTTCTGATGAGCAGAAATCCCCAAATGCATAAGAACAGAGCCAAAGGTGAACAAACTGTGCAGTAAAGTCAACCAGTAGAAATCTTTCCTCATCCTTCCACCCTGATATTCGCTAAGCATAACCTCCTATTCTTTTGATTGTATTTTATATTTAGCTTTTATTAGAAGAGCAGCGTACCAAATATTTTAGATAGGCATTTTGCCAAATTATTTGGCAGAGAAATTTGCTGTATTTTGGTTCTTTTTTAAATTTGTTAATATACTGGTTAGTCGATTATGTTATTATTTTGAATTAGGAGCTCATTTTAGTAGCACTTTCCCTCCATTTTTTGATGTATGACTCTTGACATTATTTTTCAGATATGTGAGGAGAGTTAACACCCTGTCCACATTCACTAAGTGTATTTGAGAAATATTTCATATTATGTTGTACATAAATATCTATATATATGTATAGACTGGAGTATATATATATATTTCCTTGAAATGAGGGGAGCAAACCAATAAAAACAGGTCAGTTACTGCTCGCAGGTTTTAACGATGTGTTTCCAGGTTGTGGGTCAGAGGTTAGACTTGTATATGATTTTCCTGGAACCTACTGCCCACTCAACAGATGATGATGAGTTTGTAAGTTGGGTAGTTCTTTTCATTTTTATCTTCTGGCAATAATATTATTTTCATGGTTCAACTATTATAACTTCTTAACGGACATTGAGGCAAACGGATCATTTTTGGCCAAATCTTGTACGAAATGTTTTCAAACCATCCACAGCTAACCTTACGATTATAACAATTAATTATTATTATTTATTATGGAAAACATTCAAACCAAACAGCCATTTGCATTTGAAGATGAAGATGACACAGTGTCAGAGCTCCCAAAGCCTCCTGTGCAGTGTTTTCTCTGACATGCCATAAAGTCAGATTTACTGAAAAGCATTGAATTATATTGTGTCGAGCCTCGGTCTGGTTTCAGTCTGAAGACACACATCATCCATATTGCCTCATTATCTCACTGCACACACACACACACACACACACACACACACACACACACACACACACACACACACACACACACACACACACACACAGGAACATGTGGCTCTATGCCTTGTAGCTTTCCAAGTTAAACTTGGGTGCCCATTTGGAGATCTGATTGCAGTAAAGGGGCTTGGAGGTGATCAGACTGGAGTTGATGTAACGAGATCAGCACAGTAGGGAAAATGCTTCGCCCGGTGCGTAACTTGCTGGGCGAACATGGCTTGCAGCAAAATCCCCGGGTGCTCTGGCAGCCAGATGAAAGGAAACTGTTATTGCTTTGGGAGTTAAACAGCAGCATCTCTCTTCTTCATGGAATGAGGTGTGTTTGCTTTCTTATGTCATAGATATTATAGCGTTGACAGGTTTAGGCACCGTCAGACAATCGCTACTTCCTCAGGTTTTAATGATCATTTAACATTGCAGATGCTCTTTTGTAGTATACGAAATGATTTACCCGTACCCCACTTTAGGACAATATATAGACTGTAAAACCTCTGCTGAGTCGGACAAAGCGTCGGCCAAACGTATCATGTTCAGATTAACAGATAGGAAATATGGAATGAGGAAGAGGAGATTAGGGCACAGGATAGATTCATTTAAAGGATATTAAGAAGTCTACAAGGATCAGGTTGATTGAATGCTTGTTGCTGACACATAGTTGTGAAAGTGAAAGATTGCGGGAAGAAGGAGAAGGGTGGGGTGGAGGAGCTCCAGGGAAAGAGAAAACAGCTTGTTGATGTTAAATTTGACAGGTGGAATATATAGTTTGCGAGTGGAGTGACCAGCATGGAAGCCGCCATGGTGGGGGAAAACGCCAAAGTATGATTCCAGCTGGGCGGCAAGGCGAGGCCTCACGTGGACCCATATGAGATGATTGTTGGTTGTATCAAAGAGGCTCCGGTAATGAATATGTCTTCAGTCTGCAGGCTCAGGACATTCCGTTTAGAGGTAATAGCGGTCAGTTCAACTGTCGTTTGCTCGACTATAGCTATATTATTTCAAACCCAACGTGCTCAGGCTGGAACTAAGCTGAGAAATATTTTCACACTTCATTGCCTTAAAAGAAGGTGACTTTATTACCAAGGGGCTATAAAACGCACTCTGTCTCTACGGAGCTGCAAGCCAAGCCCCTCTCTTACCCATCCTCTTCCTGGACAGAAACCTGAGAGGCTGAAATACAGAGTTCCAGAGCTGCATAAAAGTCAGGAAGTGTTTCATCGGCAGTCAGTTTAAAACCTCTTCCACCCTAAAGTAGCCTATATATATGCATAAATACATAAGCATTGAATTATGTTTTTCCCCTGCCTTCAGGCAGCCTGATTCTGCCAGTGGTCAGGGGGTATTTATAGTCTGTACCGCTCAGCTGTGATGTTCAGATGCTCAAAACAAACTGACATGACTTCATTACATGTTACCTCTAACCACAAACCACCAATACCACCACATTCATTTCAAAGAGTGGAAAAGTTATTTTCCATTGCATATTAGAAAACAAAACCTGCCTTGTAGTCTCTTTCCAAGCCCCCCCTCTCTTTTTTGACTCTTTGCTTAAGATATTTATAGTTCGTTAGTTCCTACACCAACATGAGTGGAAAAGTCTTGAGATGATGTTTTATTTATGCTAACAGTGTTTACCTTAATACTGCCCTGCTTCTCGTGTGAACTCAGAGGAGAGAGACAGCTGAGCATGAAAGAGCTTCCATGTCAGACAGAATATCGCAACGTGTTGATGCCAAAACATGTTTGCACGTGCACCGCGCACATTGTAATATGTATTTGCCATATGCTGCATATCATGTGTAATGTGGAAAGCGGGCGCATTATGCTGACAACCATGTCAACCTACTCCCTTTCCCGCTGGATCATCCATCACTGATGATGATTCAAGGTAGATGCTGTGCTGAGCCAAGATTGAGTTTCAGGTTTGAGGGCGTCTCTGCTTTCCGGGCCAGGACGATTACATACTCTTGAAACAAGTCCAAAACCGAATTAATACCACGGTGAAACGTTTATTGAAGAATGTGGCGTTGTGTATTGGTCGATTTCCGGCACATTGATGGATCTTGATCGATAGTTGACGAATTGGTGATGTTATGCGGGAGGGAGGCAGACAGCTTATGTCCGGTCCTCTCTTGACTTCGAGATTCCCAGCAGGCCATCTGATAGACAACATTTGTGAAGCTGTCTCCAGAATCCGACACCATCTTTCTACATGATCAAACGTAAAAAAAAATGTATTTATTAAAACAATTTATTGTTGGCTATATCTTGGCATAGTTGACATGTTTACTCTTAACATTTCCCTTGTTTTATGTTTATAAAGTGAAGCATAATGATACTCTGATATGCCATTTAGTGCCCCACCTCTTCCAAGAGCAGGACCCACATATTGAAAATTGGGGCTGTCAACATTAATGTAATAATCTATGCGATTAATGTGGCCTAGATTAATGCAACAAAATATTTAGTTAAATAGTTAACCGCGGAAACAAAACGGCCGCTAGCTGCAGTCAGTTAACGTTACATCAAGACGGAGCTTTTAGCATTGGAAGTAAAACATACAGTGGATACGGGAAGAAACAGTTTGTGTGGCGGGAGGTCTTAGTCCTGATGGACCTCAGCCTCCTGCCAGATGGAAGGGGCACAAACAGTTTTTGTCCGGGGTGGGAGGGGTCGGCTACGATCTTTTTAGCTCGCTTCAGAGACCTGGAAGCGAACAAGTCCTGCAGGGACGGCAGGTTGCAGCCGATCACCCTCTCTGCAGAGCGGATGACACACTGCAGCCTGCCCTTGTCCTTGGCTGTGGCTGCAGCGTACCAGACGGTGATGGAGGAGCAGAGGATGGACGTGGACCATCATCGTCTTTGGCAGGTTGAATTTCTTCAGCTGCCTCAGGGCATCAAATGTTACCCTGCGCGGCACACAGTCTGCAGAGGACCACCACTGTGTCCCTAAAAGACCGTGGTTTGAAAACGTCCTGCTAAATGTGGGGATCAATCTAGATCAAGATCAACATCAATCTATTGACAGCCCTATTGTAAATGCTCTTTGCATCTCTCTCTATTCATTTAGCTTCTATTTGCCGTTGCAACTATGCTGTTTTTTGCATTGTGTGGTAATTTGCATCTCTTGGTGGTAGTTGTGCTTATCTATGTCATGGTTTTGTGTCTCTTCACAGTCATTTTGCATATCTTTGAGGTGGTTTTGTGTCTTCGTATCATCGTCTCTTTTTGGCTACTGTGTCTAAACGTTGCATCTTGTTCTTGCCGTTTCTGCCTGGTTGGTCTGTTCAGTAATCCATCCACGGTTATTAAGGGTACGATCATGGATTAAATTATAATTTATTGACTTTACATGCTGTTGACAGTCTCAGCGTCACCAGCAGAGATACCCTCTGGAAGAATTTGGAATTCAAATAATCAATTATTATTTTCCCTATTATTCATCCACATAAACACACAGTATGACCTTGTTCCTTAGCAGATTTTTCTTTGGCTAGCTAAATGTGAATAGTTTCCCTTTGCGCTGCAGTTGATTGATTACCAGGAATGGGATTGGATGTTTTCCTAAAGCTTTATTCATTTAACTTTGGAAATACTGATTAGTCTTAACAGTCCTATAGTGGTGTGTGGGCCAAATGGCCCGAGCTCTGGACGGGTTGTCGTTGGACTGAGCCAGTGTTTGCTTGTACTGGAGTTGAATCCACGCTGCCAGAAGTTTCCTAAAATTCTCCGAGCCCTTCTCCCTCAGAGCCAATCCCGCTCATGTTTTATTGGAAACATTGATGGAAGAATCACAACAAATGCAGTTTTGGTACCAAGCACATTAGCTAGAAAAGTGTGAGGGTATCTTTCAAATGCAGGGCGTCCCCCTCTTTCGCTGTCGGTGTCTGTTTTGGCGTCTGGCAGCCGTTGGCAATATTACTCATGCAAAGTTCCACTATTTCATTTAATGCTTAAACACAAGCCATAACCCAGTCAGCAAGTCCATAGTTCTAAGCCTGGTAGACTAATGGAGGTAAGGTCTTTTTCTGATTTCCACCGCATAAAAATAAAAGAAACAGAGCATGGAAATATAATTGAATTCATAAATAAGCTCTTAATTCTTTCTTGACTTAAAGGGCTTTACGCATTGAATTAAAACACACTGAATATGGTGAAAACATAACCGCGAGGTAATAAAAACCGGCTACATTCATGCCTCACCATTTATCATCCAAGACTGGTGTGGTTATTTATTGATGTACTGTCATTCATAAGTCACACTTCTGGCCCAGCTGCACTCATTGGAGTTATCTAGTAATGATGAGCATTCCTGTTAGAAACTGGCTAATTGCTAACATGCCTGGTTCTCGGCGTAGCAGAGCCAAGAAAAAGATTTGAAAATTCATCCATCCGTTATCGTTCTTGTGCTGCTTGTCAGTTCAATATGCTATTTTGTAACATGCCTCACTTTACCGAGACACACATACATATTTTTAATAGTAATAAAGGTCCTATCCTCCAATACGTAACCTAATTGGTAAGGAAATGTATCCAAATTGGTTTGGCTCGAGAAGCTGCCCTTTACTTCACCACTCAAGAACCTTTATCCTAATTTTGAACACAGACCAACAGGGTTTTTTTGGTCGCTGCAGTGGGTGTGATCCTCATGACCTTTGAGTGACCTCAGCAAGCAGAAAAAAAATAATGCCAGAAACACAATCTTTAACAACTTTTCCAAACAACGAATTCCAACGAGTCCCTAGGTCTATTGCATCACACCCTTTGATGCTGGTACTTGTCTAGTATTTGTCCCCAGGCTCTGCTGATTAGGACTGTATCATGGGAAAGTCAGTTCTGGCACAAAATATGCAGTTTCTTGAGAAAGTGAAGTGAGGACAGGACGGGAGGGAGAGACACAAAAACACATTACATCCTTCCACTTTCTGGTCAAACAAACACAAGCCTGAGTCAACCTAAAGTTTTAATAATGGTTGTTCGCATATTTTAATTGGAAATAACATATCTATTTGAAAAGCAAGCTGTGCACTGACAAATATGTTGACACCCAATATAAAAGCTTCAATGTATGCAGTTTATGATGCTTTTAAATTCAAATAAAAATTGTGTTATTAGGCACTTCAATTTTTCAGCTCACTAACATCACCATTATTACCTTCCAGTAAAACCTACACCTCAGCAGAACAGGGACCAGTGTGAGGTGACGACAGAAGTGTTGTAAAATAGAAGCAGGTGTAAATCTGTAAAGTCTTCCTACAAGCCTTGCATTCTCCTTTCACAAAACAAGACAGGAACGTAAGAGAAGGTTTTTTTTCGACGTGTATTTTGAACTCCTGGCTGCCGTCTGTAAGGATTAGCTCTGACCGTGCAATGACCGAAAGCTCGGTTGTATCTTTAAATGCTTGCATTGTACTGAAGTAGCTGCCCTCTTCCTCTTTACTGTGTCTTGAATAAAATTCTCTTTGCTCCGCAGTGAGACGTCAGAATATGAAAGTCCGCATAAACGCCACAGGAGACACCATCGTGATGAAGTTTTTGCATCCCAACGCTGGCACCAAGCTCGAGGGTTACATCCTGGGCTACGGCAGCAGCATGTTCTCCAAACAGTTCATCCAGCTGCCCGAGAATGGACAGCCGTATGAGACGGAGTTTGGTAAGGAGGAACAGACTGCTTTGACGCAAATTCGATCTGCATTTTCACCTTTTATGTGGTGAAGAGAGCTTAGATGTTAACCTCTGGTTGATTTCTGTGTTTAGATGCGGAGCCCAAGTACCTTATCGCCGTTCAGCCTATCCCAAACAACGAGGTGAAAAAGCACTGCACAGGTAATGCTACTACAAGATCGTCATCAAGCTCTTATGGGGGAAAGGAGCATGGAGGTTAAAGTAACATGTGTATTTGTTCAAAGGTAAAGTGGAACTGCAGAAACCACTTCACCTGGTTATCGGGTCGGTAACGCCCACCTCAGTGCTTTTGTCTTGGGGGACCCTACTGAAAACTCCCCATGAAGGCAACATCATGAATGACTGCCTTGAGGATGGGTGAGATGACACAATAACACACATTTCATTTAACAAACAATACACAATCATGCCACAGAGCAGGGGTTTTCAAAGTGTGACACTGTGGATCATCTACCCTGCTTTAAACAGGATATATAGTGGTACAATTCATTCAAATAGCTTGCTGGGTTTTACTTGGGCCCCTGTATTTGTTTACATTGTGGAATTTGGCCACACTAAAAGAATGCAGTAGCTCTTATAGAAGCTAGTGACATCCATGTATGTACAGACATCTATCACAGCACAACTTAAAGACTGAAGAGGAAAACACAAGTTCTGGAGTAGGAGGTTTTCTATAATGTCTAAACAGAGAGTTATGGCCATTTATTTGATCAGTTGACATCAGTTACGATATGCTGATGGAGTTTTAACCGGATGTAAAATATGTACATCATGTACACATTGTGATTTTTCCCCTTACAAGATTTGCGATTGGTTCCAGGGTTGCCAGGTCTGAGTAACAAAGTCACCCCAATGGTTAATCAAAACAGGCCTAATACCAAACATCTAACCACATATTACTACCAAATGTATTGAAACATCAACTAAGTAACCCAAAAAAAGCTCAATGTCCCCAAACAGTTATTTAGTATTAGTGGTAGTGTGGGCTTATGATGTGGTCAATGCCCTTGTGTATTTGTGCTGATCTGTTTTGGTAGTAGGTTTGGTAAGATTTGGGTGTATATTATTACAATTTTTGCATGCAAAACAGGTCTGCCCAACCACAAAAATGTAGCTTGTGTCAACACTTCAAAGTAAGCCAACAGTAGTAGAAATGTAGTGACAGAGGTATACTGAAAAGAGAAAAGCACTAATGCATGGAGATTTAGTTTTATGTCTTTCTTTTATTTTAGTTTGGGTAAGCATGAAAAAATATAACTTCATTTCTTCTTTCCACACACACATTTTAACTATTAACAGTAAATCATTATTATTATTAAGTTGTCATGTAATTTAAAAAATATGTTCTCAAAGGGTTTGATTGAACAGATCTTACTCCGCTTTTCAGAAAAAATCTCTCCCTGGTTTTATGTTTAATGTTAGTTTCATGTGTGTCTTCTGGTAAAAAAAAGATTAGACTAAAAGCCGTTTTCTGTCTCAGCATCCAAACATTGGAAAATGTATTTTTGTATTTTTCTTGTAAAATCGGCCTAATCTAAAATCAACCCCTGCTGAACATTTTTAGGACAAGACAATGAAGTTTAATGGGCTCTGAATGTACTCAGCAGTTGGTATTTGTACTTCTAGATACTCGTCCATCTCGATGTCTGAGTTTCTTTAAAGTAATTTGATTTGCTGATTTATCCTCGTGTTCGTCCCGCTCAGACACTACACCGTGCGTTATCGCGAGCGGAGCAGGAAGTGGCACTATCAAACCTGCCCCACCAGCGACACGGTCATCGACAACCTGAGGCCCAACGCGGTTTATGAGTTCGGTGTTCAACCCACCTCCAAGGACGGCACGGGAGTGTGGAGTAAGCCGGTCATTCACAACATCAGCTCAGGGGGCACAGAAGGTACGTTTTGAAAGTGTCCAACGGCACTGCAGCGGTTGCAAAAAGACTAAAAACAAGCACCATTAAAAGTGAATTATCAAATATCCATGCAGTGCTATGTCAGTCATAGTGACATATATAGGTTTAAATAGGTAGCTAAACACAAGATGTATGTATGCTTGAGCCTATTTGGAGGTAGAAAGGATCAGTCGGACCACTTCGGTCTTGTCCTCTGTGGACAAATTTAACCCCGCTTCAACAAAGTATTGCTTCAATCGTATCAGATCCATCTGATGTTTCCACACGATGGTTTTTATTCAGCCTGAATAAAAACCATCATGTGGAAACATTCAAGCCACTTCTGAGGAACTCTCTCATTGATTCTTCCAAGATGAAATGCATCTTGAGGAAAGTGTTGATTTTGTTTAGTCCATTTCCAGTTATATTAGTTCCAGTGCGCTGATGTCTTAAGTGATCATCTTGTGTCATATTTCTAGAAAAGAACATCAAGAAAATCTTTAAGCGTCCAGTCAACCCTGTGGTAAGTATTGGACACATTTTATCACTTAAATTAAAGCAGTATTTCTAATATGAGGCTGTATCTTGTAGATTGTCTTATATTAGACTATGGATGTGTGAAATTAAACTTGAGTGGCTATAAACTAGTGAAACTTCAGGGACACCTCCTTTCCTCACAATGACTACATTTGGGAACAGGTTGTTTATTTGGAACAGTCAAAATACTTTAGAATCCATGTTGAGCACTACGCGGTTCTCTGGGTTGTTTGCCTCATTAGTTTTCCATCCAACTGTCGAATGGAAACAGCACAAGTTCAGCCAGGACCAACCACGCCAAGAGAGCAGTCTGTACCTAGCAAGGAAGAAAGAAGAGGAAAAAAGGAAAGAAAAAGACAAGATAGAAGAGGAGGGCTAACTGTGGAAATTAGTGGCGTTGAGTTCAGAATCAGAAGTCAGAAGTCATTTATTGCCACGTATGTTACACATAGAGGAATCTGTCTTGGTGATTGGTGCCATACGAGGATAAAATAGGTTTACTGTCACCGGAGGGCCAATGTGCCATGCTCCTGGCTCCGCACTCGTAAAACACCACAGCTGAATCAACCACAACAGTTGCCCTACCAGAGGAAAACTTCAAATAACTTTATACATTTGACGTGAATTTGAGGAATATGTCTTTCAATCTTCTTCTTTTTGTCTTTCACTCTTCAGAAACCTTTATCGCCAGGTCCACACTCCTTCCCTTTTTCTCCACACCATGGTAAGTCAATAGAGACATGCCGCTTTGGGTCAAGCCCACTGAGCCTTTTTTTATAGAGAAGCAGAATGTTTATGAAATACTGTGATTTATCACCACGCAAAAGATTTTCTTTCAGCCATTGTCACTGACCCTTACTGTACTCTACTGTGCACTGCAAGGACTTTATCTTAGACTTATGATTCCTCGTTTATCAGTCAGGACCTGTTTATATCGAGTCCAATGTTTTTAAACTCCTAATTTTCATCTTGCTGGTTTGTTGCAGAAACTATGCCAACTCTGAGTCCATGCTGATCGGTTTTGCAATATCTACTGTGTGCTCCACAAATCAAGATAACAAAATAGCTGATAAACCCAACCCAACAAGTTACAACCAATAAGAGTGTGTGCAATATGAAATAATCACACAAAGTATTTCCGAATTCAAGCACACCGCCTTTTAGATTTTCTCTCACGGTTCATTCCAGTTTAATTGTTGACTGCCGGCACAAGTTTTCAGCATATAAGGGTCAGCACCAAACAGCATATGCATGAAGTAAACAACTAGGTTGTTAACATAGTATTATATATATAGTGAGAGTCAGTCATTGGAGAAAGTCAGAAAAGTTTTTCATGAGAATGAATTGTGTTGGAGTAGGTGCATGAATATTTATAATCTACACAACTCTTTTTTTGAGGATTTTAAGGAGATCTTATGTGTGACACCTTGACTTAAATCTCTACTTCCATGTCAGTTCCCCATAACAGGACCCACGGTGGACAACTTGTTTTGCGGAACATAGCCCCAAAGACAACCGTTGGTAATTACTTTTCTGGCGTAAAACTCAGAGATCTGAGGTCAGAAAAACAGTCTTGACCTTATATGTGAACATGTGTTTTCTCTCACTGTCCTTTTCATTGTTTATTTCACAGTTGTATTTGTTTACATTCTGCAGCACATACAATATTAACTTTTCCCCCAGGTCTACTAATGTACCCTATATTTCTCAGCTCCCACCACAACTACTGCTCAGGAATCTCTGTTGACCAGTGGAGCCGCACGGCCCGCGGCCAACAAACAGACAATCGGTAATCAGTGAATAATGGTTCCTTTTGAAAAAAAGCCATCGCTCTCATTCAGGTTCTCTTCAGTCGCAGACGTGGCAGAATCGGCTGTAAATGCTTCACAGTGTCTTCTGTAATTAGCTACAAGATTAAGAAAAGCATGTTCTGATTGAATAGGATATTTTAGCAAAGCAACAAAGCTGACAGGGATTTGTAATCATTTCTGGGTTCTGTCATGTAAGTGAAGTTGATGTTAAAGTAACTGATTTTGAAATGTATGTAAGATCTACATTATTTAATATAAGGTACCAGCCCATTCTCCAGAAAAGAATTACCACAAAACCAAATTAATATTGACATGTTTGTATTCAGACGAAAGGACGTGATCAGGAACGAACACATAGAGCAAGTGACGGTCTTTTGCCTATTTATATTTTTTTCCAATATTTACAGGTAACCTTAATTCTATTGATTATTATAAAGCTTGGTCGTTCAATTGCTTTGTCACAATGTTGTGCTGAATGCATCAAACAACCAACCTGGATGCATCCAAAAAACATAATAGACTTGTATAATTTCAAAGGCTCCTTCAAACGCAGCCTGGATTGGAAAGATTAAATCATATTATACCACAATTCATTTTGCACCAGGAAGTTAGTCAAATGAATATGAACAAAATAATAGGTTGATTTGGAGGATCCAGTCTCTGTTGGGACAGCAAATATCAATGTTTTCTATTGGTTTCTCTGCCTTCCTGTGTTTTCTCTCTCTCTCTCTCTCTCTCTCTCTCTCTCTCTCGCTCTCTCCCTCCAGTAATTTTATTTTTTATTTAATTTTGTAAAAGAACCTTGCCTCAATAATATTATATTCAAAATGATATTTTCTAGCTAGGTATGGAGCCTTCATGGATATATTTTCTCTCTCACACAACCCAGGAGGAGGGGACCTTTCCACATCTGTGTTGCCTCCTTTTATGGAGGTTACAAAAGCCCCCAAATCCCATCTTCCACTACACATTATAGCCACTACCATGGCAGTTTTTCAGAAAAATATTAAGGAACATGAAGAACATCCTCTGGGTGAACCACAAAAAAGGCCATCGGCCCAACCTCCAACACAACCTCAAGCTAATTCTCTGCTGCAGACACAGGATCAAAAACCACCACAACCTAATTCCCAAGTTCAAAAACCTAAACCAAAACCCGTTACCCAGACCCAGCCACAACATAAACCCAACTACCCAATGTCACAACCCGAACCCCATACCAAACGTCCATCCCAGTCCCAAATCCAAACCCACCCTCTATCACGGCTCCAAACAACACATCAGCCCAAACTCCAAACTAAACCTCAGTCACAATCTCGGCAAAAGCCACATCCCCAAGTACAGCCTCAGACCTCAACCCATCCCCGGGACGAACCACAACCTCAACCAACACTCCAGCCCATAAACCTGGTCAAACCTCAAACACAACTTCATTCAACGACCCAGCCTGAAGTGCAAACACCTCAACCACAATATACACCTACAACTCTGCCACAAACCCCAATACAAACTCAAACAAATATCAACCCACAATTTTCTTTAAAAACCAACCCACAGGCTCAGCTTACAACCACACAGCAGTCGAAGGACCAACAAACCAGGAAACCAAAGATCAGTTTTCCTCAACCTAAGCTCAAAACACAGCATCAAACAAAAAATCAGTCTCAAGGAAAGCCCCGAACAAGGGACTGGCATGAAGCCCACACAAAGATTCAGCCATTGCTCCAAACACAACCTCCAACGAAGAACAAGGCCAAACCTGTATCTCATACTCAGCCCCTTCCCAAACCAAATCCCGCCCCCAACGCCCAGACTCAATCCCCGCTTGAACCTCTACCCAGGCCACAACCTCAACCTGGGCTTCCATCTCAGACCAGGACCTACTCCGATCCCACCAAGGTGACCCCAAGGCAGGCAGTCTCTACGGGTAAAGACCCTTCTTTTTGCCATCAGTACAATTAAGTACTAAGACCGCCTCTAAATTTCATTTTAAAATGGGCATATTGATTAGAAGATGTTTATTTGTATTGAGTTTTTAAAGAAAAACTAGATAGACATTGCTAAAATCTGGTTGATATAGTCATCTTGACAAATCGGTAACACGTGTCTTTGGCTTACATTTTGTCTTGAGAAACTCATACAAGAAAGACAACGTTGGAGTCCGTATATGTTCACCATTTAAACGTTTTACTCTAGTCCAGAGTTGAGAGTTTTCTGACTACGTGAGTTTCTCTTTGTGGATATCATAGTCACAAGAAACCCACAGCTGATTTTATTTAAATACAATACAACAACCTCCTCTTCCATTATCTCCATTATGCCCCATTTTAAAGTAAATAATAAATTGGTCCTATGTTAGATAAATAGTGAGTTTTCTTTTATACAGCTCCTAGTCCACCAGAAGAGGGCAAACCTCTACCAAGACCTGCCCTGGCTACAGAGAAGGCCGGTAGTTACAATCAGGGTAAACGCCATGACGAGTTTGTCCCATTATCATCTCTGCTTTCGTCAGGTCACATGGAGCCCAGTGCTTCAGTTGTACTTCAAACCATTGGATGATATCACTGCTTCCCCATCTCCATCTCCATCCTACCACCCTACACAACCCACCCCATCATTGCCCCTGCCTCCATGCGTGCCTTCACTTCACCCCCGCCCCATTCACGGCCAGAACAGTCTTGCCAGCTTTCGATCTCATCTATGCCTTTCTGTCATTCCAGTCATTGTCCACTGTTCTACGTTGTTTTCACCAATGTGTTGTCTCATTTATTCCATCTAGGTGAAGTTAACCGGAGTGGACCATCTCTAACCACCAAAAATGCCTTTCTGCTTATTTAGGTACAGGCGTCCACAGGCCATCCGTACCTGAAGTTCCTCGTTCTCCCATTAGTTCATCAGTTCGTCTTGCGGGAAGGAACTCCACGGGGTCCCGCGCCAAGGCGCCTCCTCATTCCACTCGTAATAATGGCAGGCCATTTTCTCCACCCAAGATATTCACCTCTCCTCACAGCTCCCACACACCTGAGGGTAATGGAGATCCGAATTTCCTTTCCTTCCCTTTTCCCGAGTAGCTCCCTCAGGTTATCCTCCCTTGTTAGCACTTCTCGTGCTGTTGTCTGCAACTGTGCGTCACAAACCGAAACTGATGGTCCTTGATGTAGCATTCTATCCGTGTGAATGCACACAATTGCACCACCATTTGGATGCTCCTTCTCCCTCCTGATGTCCTCGTCTACCTCAGCTCACAGTCCATATATTCTCACACTCTGCCACATGTGCTCCAGGAGTGTTTCACAGTTTTGCCACGAGCAGCACGGACGTCTCTCGGGTCAGAATCGTTAACATGATTTACAGTCCATCTTGCCGGGTGGGAATTCTGGACCACAGAAACTGGCCAGAACACATCACATTTTACACCAACTATGCCAAGCCAAGCACTGTGCAGACAGTATAGCTTCCATAGCCAGTCGCTCTTTTCTTTCTGTCACTGCGTCTCCTCCGCTCTCCCCAAAGAGTTGGAGAAAAATAAAGAGTCAAATTTCAAACGACAAAATGAGCGGTTTTATAGTCATGGCATTCCCAATTGTGTATCCAGAACAAAAACCACACAACAACAAAGTCTGCAGCTTTGTTTTAACTGAAAGTAGACAGAAAGAAAAGTAGATGGTAAGAAAGAAAGACAACAAGCATTTATTGTTTTCTGACGTTCTTTCTTCTTATTTGGAATTTGTTCGTCACAGTGAAACAAATGACTATATAACAAACCTCTTTCTCCCTCCAACAGCCGATGGGGCGCGTCATAAGGGCAATGCTCTACCTAAACCTGTGGTGTGGTCGAAAGACAAACCTGGTAAACAAACAAAGATAACCACCTCCTGAGTGTTCCTCATTCACTAACCTAAGAGGCACTGCTATGTCCCATCTCACACGGGTTTTTGCTTTTGACACAATCCTCTCATGCTTTGTGATTGTGACCTCGTGTGTCAGCGTGACGTTTTGTGTCTGATCATCATCTGTGTGGTCCTTTCGTCCCCATAACCTCCACTGAGACTGAAGCCATACTTTTCGTTTTGGTACATACCGGCCCTCTTCACATTGTTTAGTCTAGCCACATATGGACCTGTAATCGGGCACTGGTTTCAATTAGTTTTAGACTAGCTTGAGCCTGCTTGTTGCGAAAGGTGAATGTGCTCTGTCCTTTTTTTGGTCTCTCACATTGTTTCGATTGTGCCTGGCGGGCTCGGGTAATTACAGCGATGGAATCCATCTCAAGTAGCAATGCAAACCAAGTTTTGACCACATCTATCGATGCTGACGCTCTGCTCACTCTTTGCATGGAGTGAGCACAGGTTGTGCTTCAGTCCCAGGTCCAGTCCTCATGTGTGTTATTTCTGGAAACTGCCAGTTTCAGAGGTCTTCAAGGAGTCAGATGGCTCTCTGGAAGGAACTCTACAGAAAATAAGTAACGTTGCCCGCTTTCCTGCATAAAGCTTCTTGTTACTGCTTCTTCCTTTCCACAAAGACGCAGCACATTGGTCACCTTTCCCCCGCATGGAGTAAAAGATGTAAAACAACACATTATCGTCATTATTTGTTATATTACGCGGCACACTGCGACCCTGTATAGTAAACAGCAGCTAGAACAACGTTTGCTTTTGCTGTGAATTAGAGACTTTACTTGACAGTTTTATAGAGCTCAGTTTCACGTTGGCATTTCTACTTGAAATGATTTCAAAGATCTGCTTATAGCGGACCGCAGGTGTGCAATGGGCAGTGTCCATCCATGAATCCCATGCATAAAATCTGAGTAAAAGCAACAAAGCCCAGTGATGGGAGACACGGGTATGTTTTTCAGTTGGAATATATTCATATATATATAATATATTGGTGTTTTGATTCAAATTATTTTCCTGTTCTCGCCCTGAAGTTTCCTGACAGAAGCCAGCACTCACAACACGGCTGCTGTTTTACATCATCGCAGAACTGAAACCGAGGCCTTTGGCTCAGCAGAGACTCGGCCTGCTGTTTGAGGGGTTTATTGTGCGACAGCAAACTAAACACACCCGCTGTAGAAACTGTTGAATGCCAACATTCCCACACATTACATTACATTACATTACATTACAGGTCATTTAGCAGACGCTTTTATCCAAAGCGACTTACATTACACTTTAAACCCATGACATTGATACAATGACGACGCATACCGCTGTGTATGGTGCCAAATTATACATCAGGAGCAGGCTGTGCATATATATTCATATACACGCACGCTTCGGGGCATTTTTGCCTTCATTTGACAGAGCAGGTTGTAGAGGTTTGACAATCAACAGAAACTTGCCTCTCCAGAGAGGACCAAGGCGCACTTCTCTTCACATTAAATGAAATGGCCCCGATTGTCATTTTCTGCCCAATTTAGCATGACATCACTCGGCTGGACTGACTGTCCTTCACTGCGCTACGTAACCGTGTCCTGAGACTGGCATTTAAATTACTGCAACACCATATTGTGTGGCCTTCTGTATGAGCATATGTTTGCCATCTGCTGTCCGTTATACCACGTGGTAGTAACAGGCCTGACTTGAACGCACTCTCAAGGCTAATCAGCGAGGCTTGCTGGCAGATGTTATTGTAGTTTGTCTTGATAGGCTCAACTAATTTCTCCTGGGAGTGCGTGACATAGATCACTGATTTATGCTCACTTAAAGGGAGGTCCGTTCCAAAGGAGGGAATTAATCCAAAAGAACATGCTTTGGCCGCAACAATTACTGAATTGTGTTGACACAGTTACCAATGATGACTCCTAGATAAGGACGTGAGTGATGGTGAAGGCTGTGGATGCTCTGGAAATGAATTCTTAACTGGTAAAAGCAAGGAAATAGAATGTTCCCAACTTCCCCTGAGTTTACCCAACATCTCTGAAGTTGTTTTCACACCTAACCGGTTTGGGTAGCACCCAACAATATGCCAAGAAAGATTCAGGAGTGATAGACCTGCTCAACAAATATCTCTAAAGTTAAATTGTTTCTACTCATCTAGTTCGTTGAGGAAATGTAACCGTTGTGTTCGTTAAAGCAGTTTAGAGTCAGTTTAACTGACCTGCAGGACTTATTCAGGGGGGCTAGGGCGTATTTTATTATTTTCTCCATGGTGCAGGAATATTGCGGAACAGTATTAGATCCAAAATGACGACAGTCAAAATTATACAAAAAACGGTTGGATCTGCGATCCAATAAGGATTTTCCATTCTAAAGTTGTTCTTGCGGGGATTTCTGGGTGAATGGCTGTAGCCCCGGTTTCTAGTTTCAACGTTCTTCAACACTGACATGGTTTTCATTAGTCAAAGACCATGGAAATGCTCTGTGGCAGCACTTTTACAAAGTAAAGCACTTTAAATGCAAGCCTGTCGTCTTTCATGTGCTTTGTTGTTGTTTGTATATTATGTCTGGGTTTGTACACTCACATTTTAACAAACAAAGTATTACTGCAGTCTTCTTCCCTATTTATGGTCCCTCCATAAACTTCACATTCCTTCCTCATTATTGCACTATAAAAAATAACCAACAACACTTGTTTCCAGTTTCTTTTTATCTCTTCTTCAGTGCCGACCGCCTGTTCTGCATCAATGTGATTCTTAATCTGAAAATGGATTATCTTGTTTCCCACAAGTCCCTGCAGTCCAGCGTCCTTCTATTCCTGTCAACAAGAGACCCAACCTGGTGGGGAAACCTAGTGACCATGGTGAGGGCAACAGGGATGGCCGCTCTGACCACTGCTGCACCTTGTCCTGTATACTGTAATTATACACACAACAGCAGGCTCGTCTTCAGCCTGTGCTTCTCAAACTGTTCCTTCATCTCCTCCTTCCAATGCTGAGAATGTTTTATGCCTCCTTAAAATCCACCAGGTTGGAGTTGACAAAACAAGCCAAAGTGCACTCACAGGGAATAACTCAACATCTTTGGAAAAAAGTAAATTAGATTTCCTTCTGCGGGTGAAACCGCGTTCGTAGGGTAAATAAGCTGACTTGCTTATACTTATTGAGCAGACATGAGAGCGTCCTTCATGTCTGCTCAATTGTTTTACTCTCAATAACAAAGACGAACTATTCCTTTAAAGAGTGCTCTTATTTGCCTTTTTAAAAAATGCTGATGATTTTTCTTTTAATGTTTTATTGCTGTCTGAATGAAGCTTTCTATACTTAATCCTTATTGCTACGCTAGTGTGAAAGTTCTCCTGTTTGTTTATTAGTCCCACTCACATATCTTTCCACAAGGTCAAATAAGCCACGGCTGCAATGTTTTAACCAGCCTGAACTCTTCTCTTGTTTGCAACTGAAAAAAGCAGCTTGTAATAAAATGTACTGTTTACTAATGAACAAAACAACACTTAAGGCTGCAGCTCATCTGAGAAGCCCTTTTCGCCAGGACCTTTTTCTTGACATTCAGCCTGTTCTCCCTTATATGGTTACAGAACGTGTGTTTTTATGGTTCTAAGCATCTGGGCATCCTTGGTCTCAGCAGATGTATTCTGGATGACCCTTTTCCCCCCATTTAAGGAGCACAAGAGATAATACTCAACAAGCAATGTCTGCAGCCAGGAAAACCCCACTGAACTGCTCAGTGCAGGATGGTCAAAGCAAATGGATCACAACTGTGCATGACTATGAGTCAGTTAATGAGGGTGAACAACTGATCTCCTCTACTCCTCCTGCTGCTCTGTCCTCAGACAAACCCATGGACCTGAAGCAGGGAAACAAGGAGTCCATCTTGAAGACATTCCCTCCGGTCACAGACAAGCCCAAGCAGGAGCGCAGACAGCAGCAGACAACCACCTCTGCCCCGGCAGTAAACAGTACGCGTGACGCTAATTAACCTTGCAGGGAGGAAATAGTTGTTAAAAGCTTCCTGTCTTCGAGACAGAGATGTACGTGTGTCATAGCAATGAGGGGATTCGGCCCATGCAGCGTGCAGGTGAGAAGCCTGAAAGGTAATGAGATACACGAGATGGCTTTAATCACGAGCCCGAATGCAGGCCAGAGCAGGTGCTGAGCTGGCTCGCCGTCGCCCCAGCGCCTGAGCTACGGAAAACGAGGACCGGGAGAGCTGCCAGGCTACGGCTGGCCACCACAATCTCACCCCGAACTCCTATCTCCTGTTTTCTTTTCAGCCAGCCGCTTCGACATAAACGAAAACTCGTCCATATTCAGGCCCATGCCCGCGTCAGACGTGGACTTCATGGGCAAGAAGCGCTTCGTTGGTAGGACTCCGTCGCGCGGCTATTCTCTCTCCATCGTTGGCGTGAGGCGGGTTGGATCAGTCGATTTTAGATCTGTTTCTTGTTCCTGTCTGCAGCTCCGCACGTGATATACAAGACGGACAAAAAGCCGGATGAGCCGTGCTCCATCACCTCGTCCCTCGCTTTCTTCCCTGACGAGGAGGGTGGGGATCAGAACGTGACCGGTCCTCCCCGCATCCCCCCCTCCAACCTCACTGTGGTGACCGTGGAGGGCTGCCCGTCTTTTGTCATTCTCGACTGGCAGAAATCTGACAATGATACCAGAGGTAGTGTAAACGCAATTAGATGTACAGTACACAAAATAAACTTTTGAAACAAAAACACATCACTGGGGTTTAAGGCTTTAAATGAACTTATTGCATGTGGTAACAAGGTAATGAGATTGCATCATTTGTAGCGGTTCACAGCTGAATTGTGGAGTTTGTGCTACTTAAAGCACCATGACATTCCTGCTCCTGTTGTCAGAGTACGAAGTCGTATCGACCACCAAAGGACCAAACGGAGACGAGGTGTCCGTACTGACCACAAACCAGACACACACAGCCGTGGAGAATCTCAAACCGGAGAGCAGGTGTGTGGCTACCTTAACATTTCTTTCCTTTGTGTTACTCCCCTTGGGTCTGTGCACAACCAGCTCTACATTACATTAAGGTTGTCAACATAAGACATTTAATAAAAGGTTGCTCCTTTTTACAGTTTTATGACAGTGATCCCCGTAGTTTTATCCAATGCAGGCGTAGCTTCATGCTTGCACCATGGTGTCATATTATTCCACTGATGAATCGGTGGGGGCGTCAAGAAAGACACCAATGCTCCCCAAAACACTGTGAAGCATTCTTCTAGCCAGTAAACATGGATAGAAAAACCACAGGTTTCAATTTTTTAAGAATAATTGTGTTTTATGAAGTGCAGTGAGTGCAGTCATTTTCTAAGAAAAAAGGATGAATGCTTGAACTGCTGGCTGATCTGAAAAAGAGGAGAACTAAATGGCCAATAGACTACTTTAAATGCGCAGTGAGTTATGTTTTAGTTTTGCAACTCAGAAATGGCAAGAGCGACACAAAAGCTGAGGAAATCTGGGTGGAGAGTTTCACAGAGGTTTTCACTTAAATCTCAGCATCTGGAGTCTCAGCACTCAGCAGAACCCTCCCCTGGGCGGGTCGGCCGGCCAAACTATTGCCGGGACATCTGAATGCAGCATATGGAATAACTATCAGCTATGTGTGCGAGTGTGTGGCAATGTGTGTGTGTGTGCGAAAGAGAGAGACTTATACTTTGCTGTCAAAGAAATTAAAATGTCCTTTTGCATCCCAGTTCTCGAGGTTTTGTAGGAATTTAGAACAAAAACTCCATGAAGTGGGAATCGTGCCTTTTATTAATTTTTGTTCCATTTCCTTTCAGTTATGAATTCACAGTTACACCAAAGAATGACATGGGAGTAGGACCTTCCAGTGATCCGGTTTCTTTCAGCACAGAATCAGGCAAGTTTTACAAACCAATGCTAAGAAGAGAAGTCCTACTAGAGAAACCTGCTCTGCTCTGCTCTTAGGGAAGAGAAGACATTAAATAATTGTATAGTAAGGACCAGAAAACTGATCCAAACTAGAATTGTCTAACACGAGGATTCAAGATGTCTCATGTCTGTTGATTCAAGTTTTATTGACCTTATTCGTTGCATCCTTTTCTGGTGTTCTTAGCGGATCCGCGAGTGAGTGAACATGTGTCAGGTGAATATGGACTTTTTTTTAGTGTGTTCCAGCAAAATTAAATGTACAACTTTCCTCTTTGAACAGATGACACACATCAAACAATGCCTGTGCTTCTAACGATTCCGTCACAGGCAAAGACGCCATCTGGACTCAGTTCCCATTTAAATCCGACGACTACTCTGAATGCAACGGAAAGCAGTATGTGAAGAGAACTTGGTACCGTAAGTTTGTGGGAATCCAGCTCTGCAACTCCCTGAGATACAAGATCTACCTGAGCGACTCCCTCAACGGTAATTACAGACTGACTCACGATGCTCTTACTTTTTTTATGTTTTATTTAAAATAATTACCAGGTAATATAGTATACTATCAATTCACAACATGTTTATGACAAACTGTACCATAGCGTCTTTTAAGGACATTTTAATGACATTGGAATATCATTTTTCACTACATTTTTAATGCCAAACCATACTATGATATTTTATGGCATACTATACTATGACTTTTTAAGGACTCTTTTGAATGTGCTTATAAATTATGTCACTTTTTAAGGCATTTTTACAACGAGCTTTAGCATGGAAAGTCTTTTATTTGTTATCACATACTGTGCTGTGACTGAATTCTTCTTCATGAAATCTGCTCTATGTTTCCTCCCCACAGGGAAGTTTTACAACATTGGAGATCAGTCGGGCCATGGTGAGGACCACTGTCAATTTGTGGACTCTTTTCTGGATGGACGAACCGGCACCCAGTTGTTGGCTGACCAGCTACAAAGCAGACCAGGTATTTTGGTTCATCACAACCACGAAGGAACCAAGCTTTCATTTCCGTTGACTCTTACACTCTGCTCCGTGTCTTTGTAATGCACCAGGGTTTTATAGGGCATTGAGACAAGAACCTGTCTACTTTGGAGAGATTGGCGGGAAGTCACATGTGACTTACGTGGGCTGGTACGAGTGTGGCACACCCATACCGGGGAAGTGGTAAGATCCCACAGGCCTCTACCGAAGGGGGAAGAAGATGTCTCCTTTCTTTCCTGTTACCTTGGACAATGTAGATAGGTCTATCTGATGGGTTTGAACTCAGCCTACTCCTACAGGTATGAACCTATACCGGGCTATTGTGGCACAAAACTCTATTGAGTGCATTTGTAACATTAGTCCTATTTTCCTATTTATCAAAAAGGTGTTTAACAAAGGAATGCAAAGGGGGTCTAAGGGAACCAAAATGTTGAATATACAGTAATTCCAGAGAAGGTGTTGGGAAGCTGGCTCCCAAAGTGTAATAACTTGTATGATATTATTTATCAAAGGGGATCGTTATTGAGTATTCTGTATGTGCCTATGCTTTTGAGATGAAGAAAGTAGTTCCCAATACCAACATGATGTCAATGAGCACACAAATTTTGTAATTTGTTTACTTCCATTGTACATTTGGACTATGTAAAATATACGTACACATAGAGATGCAGAATTGACATTCTGCTGGTCCTGAGGGATTATTAGCAGTTGCAGTTTGCACAGTATTATACCTTTGTTCATATATGTATATGGTGTGAAATTCATTATGTAAACGAGGGATCATATAGTTTGATAGATTTTAGGTAACAGCTATTAGCCAAATTGTTAATCTATTGTAAGGAAGCTGAAGCTTGAGCCCAATGTTTCTACGGGGTCTTTTGCTAAGTTTAATGCTTGTGCAGTCCTGCATTTTATCAAAAGAAATTCAAATGAATATGGAAAAAGTATAATAGAACCAAGCGTCAATAAGGAAAATACATGTTTGTGTTTAAACTAGTGCTTTGAATCATTGAAGAGATATTACACATCTGTCACAACTGCCGTTGTCTTTAATGCACCATGTTTCCAGCAATAAATGTTTTTTTCTAAGGACTGATTTTTATTTCCATTTAAAATTAAATGTATTTATGCTATGCTACATAATGTACGGTGAATTATGTTTTGGGAAATCGTAAAAGTAACTCAGTAGACTTATAATAATTTCAATACACTCTTGAGTCGTATGTTCGTTACACCTAATTATACAATAAAATATGTGGTACCATTCAGGGCTAATGTTGACAGTGTAGCATGTTCAGTCGTGAATCACTAAACTTGCACTTTAGCTCGCAACGCTTGGCTGCACCTTCAACTCAAATCTTCCACGGATGAGTGAGAATGAATGAAGAAGAATTTAATATGGCATTGAACTCATGCAGAAGGGCATTAGTAGATCAGTTTATTAAATTCCAAACATTGTGCGAACAGTACTAATAACACCTCAGGAAGTGGATTTTGGTTTGGCAGATGAGCTGAAGGGCAAAGCTGAACACACTTCTCCAAATTATCTTCAATAAACCCGATGGGCTCAATTTCTTTCAAGCAACGTGACGACATGAAATGCATCCACATTACTCCCATGCCGCATGTCGAGCCCAAGCACAATTACACAGGCACGAAAACGATACCAGCGTTGCATTTTTCCAACTCTTGGTGTGGGGGGGGGGGGAGAGAAGCCAAGAATCAGTCAGAAACCAAACAGTGAGGAAGTGTCAAAACAACATGTAGGCCAACAGCAAGTCATAACAAAAAGATAAAAACTCCCAACTGGGTCTCAATCTTTTATTAGGTTCAAGAACAAAAAGTTACAGTTTATACATAAACAACTAATCTCACATGAGGGCAGAATTTGATTTATTAGTAAAAACCAGTGATAAGATAAAGAGGAGTAGCAAGCTTTAATGGAGATGATATAATTCGCTATACAAAAGAAGCCTTCTTTGTGACACTGGGATCTACACTTCCCATGAGCCATCACTTTACTAGTTTTCCCAACATGGGGCAGTTTCATTCACACATCATTAATACCGACATGGTTGTGAAATTGATCAAATCAAGATAAAAACTGACAGAAACAAACACCGAAAGGGTTACTTTTAATTTAGATAGTGTCTTATGAACGTCTCATCTCATCGTCTCGTCTCATCGTCGCGCGTGATCTCACTCGCTTGTGGAGGGCGACCATGAAAAGATCGAAGGACTTGTGCAGCAGCCTGTTTTGGTCTCCCAGGTGTGTGCATACAGACAGACAGACAGACAGACAGACAGATCACATCATTACCGATACAAGAGGGAAGAGCAGACAGTAGAGGTGGCAACAAGAGGGGAGGGGGGCGCATAAGGCAGGGAGCGTACACCAGGGCCAGAGCGGTATACAAACCATCAGACTGGGGAAGTGGGGGTGGGGGTGCTTGTTTCATATTTGGACTTGCTATTTGTATGGGACGGTGGAGGTGGGGAGGGGGAGGTTGTACAGAGCCGTGTTTCTAGCACCCACTTAAAACTGTTGGAGCCACACTTATGGGAAGGGTTAAGGGGCCGGTGTGGATCAGTGGCAGCCGCCATCTTCTTTTACCGGTACCCGGGGCCCGGCTGGGCGTAACCCTGGCCGTACGGTGGGCGGTTGCGGGCGTACGGGTTAGCAGCTCCTGGTGGAGGGGTGACAGTGTTGCCCGGGGGCGGGGTGTACCCCGGGCGGGGCTGGTATCCTGAGCCGGGCTGGGTGCTGGGAGGGAGGGTGTAGTTGGCAGGCTGGGATGCCTGGGAGGTATAGTTTTGGGGAGGGAAGGCTCCTGGTGGATACTGCTGGGCTGCCTGTGTTGGATGGGGCTGCTGCTGGCCACCCTGGAAGCCCGGAGCTGGAGCTGGAGCGGGGGCAGAAACCTTGGGAGGAGGGAGCAGGCAAGTTCTAGACTACTGCTGCTGCTGCTGCTGCGGGGCCGGGCTGAGGGGCTCCGGGCTGAGTGCTGTATTCTGCAGAGAGAGGGAGGGAGGAATGGAGTCTCTTTAATCCATCCTCGAGAGGAAGGAGAGCCCAGACACATCGGCTACTTCTTTCGTTCATTTTGACTCTTACCAGAGTACTGCATACTGTACTGCTGCTGAGGGGGGGCGCCCGGCTGCTGAGGTGGGTATCCACCTGGAGCCTGGTACTGCTGATACACCTGACCTGAAGAGACAGGGATGAGCATCATCAGCAAAACAGACAGAACCAAAGTGACGGCCAATGCCAAAATGAGCAATTATCCAGTACATCTATCGGTATAAAAGTTAACAAAGTTAAAGTTTGTAAAGCACTTAAATTCAGTTAGCTGCATGCATACAATACCTGGCGCACAGCTACATCCATAGCTCAGGCAAGGAGTTGTGTTACAGTATGTGTGTCATGTTTGCAGTAGGTGACCTCCTGTTGCACCTTCATTAACAATAACTTGACAAGTCCGCGCTGCATACTTGCAGAGGGGGACGGCCATCATCATCTCCACAGCTCCAGTCTTCTTACTCTCGTGCCTTAAAAGGCCTCTGGACACACAGGGCGGCCTGAGGCTTTATGTAACACTTATCAGTGTCGGTGTAGTATCGGTGTAGATACGGTACCGTTCATACCGGTGTTTAGCCATAACAACTGATGTTGTAACACTAATAATTGTACATTTAAAAATGACCCCGCCGAACTGCATGCTGGGTAGAGCTCACAACCAGAAGCAACTCTGTTGCTACATGAAAACACGGAAAAGAGCGAAACCGGAGGAACAACGAGAGACCAGAGACGCACCAACACAACTTGAGTCCAAGAGCGGAGCTGCGTCTGCTTGGAGGGTTTTTGGTTTTGGAAAATCCCACGTAAGTTACGTTAGATCAGAAAACGAGTCTCTGGAGCCTCTGGTGGCAACACTCAATCATTACGTCAATAAATGAGACGAACAAGGAGCGTCAATCCAATTTTAGTTCCTGCACAATGAGCATACATCTAAAATGGTTAATATTCCCAAAATTCCAATGAATAATAGATACATTAAAGGTCATTTAGCTGACGCTTTTATCCAAAGCGATTTACATTACATTTGTAACCCGTGGCTTTTTACATTTTTGCCCAGGGAGCAATTAGGGGTTCAGGGACGCTTCGAGATGGGACATTGGGCAAGCAGGGACTCGAACCACCAACTTTGCGGTTCCCCGCTCTACCCCTGCAGCACCAATATCAGAAAACCCCCCAAACGATACCCATCTCTACTCGAGAGTGATGCCTTTGCACATTTTCACGTTTCGAAAGACATGAAAACTAATTTTCTCATCGAGCAGACAAAGACTTTGCATAGTAGCGCTCTCCTTAATAAGACCTAAACTGTACTCCCAGATGTCCTGCCTGTCATATACATATCGGGGTAAAGACAAACAGGTACAAGCTCTGCTTGAACAGACATGAACACTTTACAGCAGAGAAGTGACTTATCAGAGAACATCAATGCACTCAGAAACAACTTTTTTTGTCTAATAATTCAAAATACTGGAACGAAGAAGCGTTTTGGCTGTAGTCCTGCTGACCTCCAAACATGCCTCAACAAAGATTAATGACAACGAGGTCCTATTCTTAAATAAACACACCAATATCGTGCTGGCCTATTTGATTAAGAGCCTCGTGCAAGTGCCTAAGCTCTCGCCACGTGTACACGTGTTTGCGCTTTCTCTCCGTCTTGCACACATACTGCCAGCGGTCGATCAGCATCTGACAGACAACAGGTACGCCGGCTGCGTATGGATCTCGTTAGCAGCATTCTTATGGTAACAGATAACGTAAACTTGCATTGAACGTGAGCTTATGGCTGGCTTTAAAAAAGGCCACATGTGCTCAGTTGGCATCCGAACTGAAGTATTACCTCTTGTAAAGTCTTGTGCATCTGTTTTGATTCGCCTTAAGGCTGTTGTACAGACAAACAGGCCGCAGCCAGAGAGCGGAATAATGGGAGGAAAGGGTCGAGTGGGAGATGAGGCTGGGGAGGATCTTTATGGCTTTGCGTGCCAACCAGCCTTGGAAGTGATTCAAGAGATGAAGAAGGACCCTAAACAATAAAGCCTGATCCAACAAAATATGATTACGAAGCCTGAAATATATTGTGTGGGTCTTTGGAAGACAAGAAAAGCCTCCGGAGCTGCCGCAATCACTCGGCATAATACAATTCTTAATCTTTCTTCCTTGCAGCTGCCAAATAAGCTCATAAAGCCACAAAGTGCTGAAGGGGAAAACCCATTTGCAGAGCACAGAGTCCCCCCGGCTCACCTGCTCAGAACACCACAGCAAAAGCCAAATACACGGCACATGGTCTATCGATTTGGATCACAAACAGGAAAGGAAAGGGAAAGTGTACGTCAGAATGTGGGGACCATATTTTGATACTCTATTTCAATATCATCATTTAAGATTCTGGGGGGGGGGGGGGGGGTTGTTGTAGGCTTGTTGTTGTAGGCTGACCTTGTGCTTGAATAAGTCTACATTCGGATCGACGAGGCTCTTACTGAGCTCTACGGCCTGAGCCGAGCCGTCAGGCCGGACCACAAACCACAGCAGTCAAACCACATGCGTACTGATCCTCAGCGTAGCAGGTTGGGAATCCACAGTTTTCTGAGGACGTTACAGCTCTCAAAACATTACATCAACTCCCCGGCCCCCCCGTCCTTTTTTATTCCTCCAGTGGTCTCCTCATCCAGTCACGAAAACAATCCGATCCACTTACAACAATGTGGTAAACAATGCAAAGGGCCGGTGCTCTGTGGCTGCACCTGTCTGGGACGATCTTTACACAAACAGGAGTAACAAGCTGGATAATTCCTCCTCTGCCACTGGAAGTAATCAATAAAATATTCATAGGAGAACTGAATTGTTTTATGTGTGTCCACTAGTATTTGTCATCTAGATGTGCAGGCTTTTAGGGAGTACTGTCCATAAAATATTATTCAAAGTATTTTTTTTGTTTCTCGGAGATTCCGAACAGTTCTCTTGGTCTACCGGCTGGCTGGATAAGAGTGCTGCTTGTTATCCACAGAGACATAAAGAACAAGGTTCTCCTCAACACAGCTAACTAAACAAAGGTAGTGTAGCAGGATCTGGTGCATTAGTTGATCTTAGTCTATTAAATTTGAATGTGTAATCATTTTGAGAGGGCATGAAATTACATCTCAAACAAAGCAATGATCTGAATGGCTGACTGAGTGACCTCATGACAACAAGGATTCACTGCACTTTGAAGTGGCAATTTAATTTCTTGTGTTGTCGTACATCTAGATGTGTTCTATAGGGTTTTATTTACCGTTTGTGTGTGAACCAGGACATTTGGATAATGTGTGTGTGTGTGTGTGTGTGTGTGTCTCACCATCCATGGCAGCTGGGGCTCCCTGCTGCACTCCGGCATAGGGGGCCTGTGGCTGAGGGGGCCCCACTGGCTGAGGGGCTGCTGACGACGAGGAGGCGATGCTGTCAGGGGTTCCTGAGCGCTCCTCTGGGGCGAGCGCTTGAGGAGCTACGGGCGGCACGGGGAGGAAGCACAAAGAGCTTTAAGCGAGAGCTGCACATCAGAAGCAAACACATTCAATCGCTCTGCTTCCAAACGGGGTGGAGTACCTGGCGCATGGTCCTCGCTCAGGCCGAACGCCGAGATGACATTCTTGCTGACCTCGTCCTGGTTTTTTAGCGGGTCGAAAGCAGACATGCTGGCGGCGCTGACCGGGGGGGCGTGCTTCACTGTGGTGTCTGCTGCCATCATTCGGCCTTCACGACCATCCACCGATTCTAAAGACCACGGAGACAGAAATGTTTCAGTAGCAGCAGAGACGAAGACAAAATGCAGAGCACTAACGGGATGCACGTACGCAGCATTTGAACCAGTTGTTTGTCATCACACCAATAACACCGACTGGTACAAGAGGTATGAGGATTAAAGTGTTTTTTTAAAGCCAATGCTATCCAGATCACCGATTCATTTCATTCCTAGATTCAAGCTAAATGACAAACACAGAATGATGTTTTTATTATTTCTAATAATAATAATAATAATAATAATATACTAACTGAGAGAGAAGCTGAGTATTCATTTAATTCCACTGTGACCGTTTCTCTTTGTACGGGTTTTCCACCCAAACAAGCGTGCCCTCTTTCTTACAGTGAGCCTCATAGAAATGAGAACATGGTAGACAAATAGCACATAGGCATGTTAATTTACATTTCCTTTGATTATGAACGACTAACATACACTCTTGGTGCACAACCGATCAGCCAGATTGCGTGTGTGTGTGTGTGCGTGTGTGTGCGCTTACCACTGTCAGGTGCTTTAGCAGCCAGACCAGTTTCTGTGGGGGGCTCCAGGCTATCCAGGAGGTTGTTGACTTTGTTCCTGAGCTCAATGAGCTCCCTGCGCAGGTACTTCACCTGACTAGACTCCAAAGGCCGCGGCTGACCATTCACTGCGGATAACAGGAGACGGGCACGAGTGAGCAAATTATACAAATCTCGGAGCACGAGACGAAAAAAGACAAACATTTCTCTGCTTCTGCACAGCTCACTCCATTTGTGTGTGACACCTCAAAGAGGGTAATTGATAGTACCCGATACCTGGACGCAGCAGACAACAGTCACATATTCATACCTTTATTAATGGGGCTTTTTTGTAATCAATAACCACTTGAGGTTGCCTCTAAAAAGGAGCTGCCCAATCACATAAATCCTGATCTAGAGAAACGTTATAGCCATCAGCTTACAGGATAATCAAAATCAAACCGTACACAAATGTGTCAACAGCTTCTAAACCAAACAAAAACTGACATACGTGTTCATCATCACAAGCAGTATTATCTGCTGATGTAAATTAAACAGTGTACACCAATAGCCATGATGTTCATTGGTCTGGAAAAGCTGTTAAACTACTATAATTAGTATGGACCCATTATGAATGAGGACCTTTTCCCATGCGGTCGGCTCCATGCTCTAAATACCTGGGATTACAGCGCTCATACATCTCATGGTTGAACCGACAAAGCAGCTCACCACAGCAGCCGGATCGACAGAGGGACACAAATCTTCAGTGTCACCAGCAAAGCCACTTTGTTGTGCTTTTTTTGATGAAATAGAAATAAAGCTATCAAATGGTGAACGCAGGAGGCTGTTTTCTCACACAGGTTTCCCTGTTTGGTTGGACGATGCTGAACAGAGATGCACAGGGTCATTCGCCACTGTGCCGAGACCCAATTCAATTTCCCTGGGAGTTTGCTCGAGGGCCCTGTGACCCTGAAGAAGCATGTACAACTAATGGATGGATGGATGAAGGAGAGGGTGGAATTACCTACATTACCATATACTTAGCTTTCAACTTTGCTTTTGTGCCCACAAATTTCTGTTTTTATTTTTTGTTCATGTAACTCATATCAACTCATAATATCTGATTCAAGTATTTAAAATGATGAAAATCAAACTTGATTGATAGTGAATTGAATGGAAATACTTTGGGCATACAATCATCTAGTGACGGTCATTTTGTTTGTTTGTTTGCTTGCTGAACGAGCGCTTAGAAACACACAGAAATTCCAACCCAAATTAGTCAGAAGGGAGTGTAGTCAAACTTCTTACAGACAAAGGGGAGCGAAGATTTGTTTTGCGAAACATAAACTGGACTGCCCCCCAGTGACGGATTGCTGTAACAGCTGATGCGAAACATCTTGGGTTACAGTTCATCATTATGGAAGACATCACATGATTTAAGACATTGAAAAGTTTGCAAAATTACCCACACAGCATGTCTGTGTATGTCTGTGTGGGTGGGGCAGAAAGTACATGCATTTGATATCTTACCAAACAAAGTCAGCTTCAGTATTCTACTGCACTGGATGGCGAAGGAGAGGTCAGAGCTATCAAAGATGGTAATGAGGTCATCATCTAGGAAAAGGTCAAACAAATGACGTGGTTATGTAATCAGTATATTAGAATAGTTCACTAGTTCATCAGGAACACTCCCCGTCTACATTCCCACTTTTACCCTTGAGACCAATTAGAGCAATGGGCCCATGTATATACGCACCTTCATCCTTGTATTTGATGGCAACCTCGTCGTTACTCTGCAGCTTCCCCCTGAAGACACGCTGCATCATCAGCACCAGCTCGTCATAAGTAATGTCTTCGTTATGGATCGGGATGCGCCGGATGTCGTCGCCCAACTGGGCTTTGATGATCAGCTTCCCGCTCAGGTCCAGCTGGCCGTTCATGGTGCTGTCCGACCTCTTCTGCTCCCACAACTTCGCAGGGTCAGAGGAAAGCTAGTTTTAAAAAAGAACCAAGTCTGCCACACTACCTTTCATCCTCTTTCTCAATGCTGAGAAAGTACGACAAATTATCAACAGCCGAATTGAACTAAATTTGATCACATGTTGATAGTTACAGAAGAAAGGTTACTTTCATAAAACCGTAAAGTAGGTCTTGTATAACTTCAGGCTTCAACAAGATAAGAAAATTTAAATAAAAATACTCACAATAATCCCTGTTTATTATTGACAGATCTCAGTTATTTACTAAATAATGCACATGCGTCTTTGGAAATAGAAAACGTTATCAATGAAGAAAATATAATTAAAATATATAGATGTATCATTATAGACAAAAGGGGAGCCTTTGATAATACACTGGCTGTGTAAGGGTCAGGCAAGTCATTGCTGTAATGTTATTTATGATATAAATGTGTTGTTTTATTACATTAAAAAGGACAATGGAACTCTTTATTGTAACTGATCTGTTTTGCCAACTTTAAAGACAGTTACATATTAAGGATAAGTGCTTCTCTTATATTTAATAGTACCCTTAATAATGAGGCTATCGACACGTAGGGTACAGATGTTCATACTCATTATCTAATAAAATAAAGATTATACCTCGCAGTCAGTCTATCACAGTTAGACTCTGTAGTCCAGTCTAAGGGTCAAACATCAGCCTGTGAGGTGGCAAAGGCTCCAATAGTACAGATTAGAATAACCGGTGATACGATAATCAAATCTTTCAACTGCGATTAGATTTACTACGAAAATACAATTTGATAAAAATATAACACAAGAACTCGCCAATGCTGGTGTGTGATCCTGGAACTGTCCCCTACGTTTAGTCAGTCAGCCTTAAAGGTTCGTGATAAAAACACGTCTCGCATCGATCGTAAGTAGTCAGCAGTTGGATTATCTGTGACGTTAACGTATGATGTTCTAGTTTGAACAATAAACACTACTGAATTGCATTCCTTAAATGCTGCGGCTTTGACTGTCCAAGCCAGATGAATAATTGGCTGGATGCTAGGGATTGTGTGGTAGCTAATGTTTAGCATGCACTACATAGCTACATTTCTCAGTTAATTAAATGGGGATAACAACACCGGAGACTGGCACCATGTGAAAAGTTGGAGAAACCCTCGGTACATGGGAATTATATTTTTAAATGTCACTTAAGCCAAGATAACGCTGCGTTAAAAACACGCTCATTCGCATAGTCATCTGTCAGTATGTGGACAGCTAGCGGCAGCTAACGTTAGCTAGGCCGTTTCAGTATTGCTGTCAATGCTGACAGCCCAATTCATGACACATAAATGCACAGCTAAAAGCAATAGAACTGATTATCCCCCAATGTATCATTTCATGGATTTGAATAAAAGGACCTTGCTTTAATTTAATTGTTGAGCAAAAAAAAACAGAATCGGTTTCCAGTGTAACGAAACAACTAACGTTAGTTTTAACTGGCATTCATAGCTAAGGCGATTTACACCAGCCTTCTGAAAACAGTCGTACATCAAGTCCATCTTCCTCAAGGGAAGAACTGCTTGGTGTCGGACCTATTTGTAACTCCTACGAATCTTCCTCGACAACTGTTTGGGATGAGCTAGAGTACCGCTAGCTCCCTGCGCAGCGAACATAACGTTAGGTTTAATGTTAGCTGCTATATGAGGAGCTAACCACTTAGCTTGCTAGCTAACGTAGTTAAACACCACTCAAACAGAGAGCGGACGGCCACTGCTCTGTAACTGGTTGAAACAAAGCCATTATACGGCTGGACCCGAACAAAATAAAGTATTTGACCTGAATCAGACGACTTGACCCCGCTGTGCCTCACAGGTTTCCCCAAACCGTGAAAATCAAATCTGTTAGCTGGCCTGGCTAGACCCGGTTACCAGCATCAGGAAGTGTCCACCGCGACCGTCAACGTCACCCAGTAACGTTACGTGGCATTCATTGTGCGCAGGCGCAGACCGTCAGTAACTAAGTGCGTTGTGACTGACTCGCCTAATAGTCAAGATGATCAACTTACAAATATAACATATTGTATTTAGTTTTTTTACAACGCACATTTATTACAATAGACAGTATTGAGCTGGCTTTCTGATGCTGAATGGGAACACCTGAAAACAAAACACTACAGACATCTTTTTGGATCAACTTTCTTTTTAATGGCTTACATGCATTCTGAAAAAATGTATTGTGAGTTAAATAAATCACAATCCCACAGTGATGAAGAGGGAACAGGATGATTGCAGAACCTGTTTATGCATGGATGTTCCTTTGATGCCACTACACACCTAAATAATAATTTAAGGAAATATCTCACTCCATTGTATCTGCATTAGAAAACACTCGTATAGGTATCATTTTTAACAATAATTAATTGGTGACTAAATAAATAGATAAATACATGAATAAGATGCAGATCACATAAATAAATTAGGAAATAAACAATTTTGACCAGTCACAGCTTTCTTCACTCAATTATTTCTTCTTCTTCTCCTGAGTGGTGTCGAACCATGAGTCTAACAGTTTCTTCATGTAATATAACTGCCAGGCATGCACTTGAACAGCAACCACCATAATGAGGTACATAACAGTCACTGCAGAAAAGCCAAAAATAAAGCGGTAGGCCTTTCCATGGCGGTAGAGCTGCTGCGCTACAGGAAACATCTCCATTCCACCATAAATGAGTGGTGCTACAGAGAACAGCCCTGCACTGATCATGGATAAGACCAGGTAACTTATATTGTTATTTGGCAGTGACAGGCTGCTGCAGAGCAGAGGGAGGAGGCTGAGCAGGTAAGGGTACTCCCACTGGTACGGCATGGACACTGTATCATGTGACACCAGGTCGAAGTGGCTGACGGTCACCTGCGCTGCCACCAGCAACCAGAGGAGAAGGTGGACCAGGTTTAACTTACGCACCTCTGACTTCAAGGCAGCACTATGAAAATGATAAACAAGGTTAGTTAAGCAGCATTGTCGTATTCAGAGGTAATATTCATGTGTATTAACCAATTTCATGAATAAATAAAAGCGACTTGCCACATTTGGTATTTTGGGGCCACCCTCTCTCTGTGTCTGAAATCACTTCCATTGGTACCAGCAGCTCTGAGACCAACCCGTGATGTCATGGTAAGGGGGACCTACTCAAAAACAAAGACCAATAGTGAAACAACATCGGCTAAAATTACCTATTTTTAATGAATACTTATTTGATTATTTGGTTAATACGTTTGGAAATAGTGAATGGCAATCACAATTTCATAAACCCTGAGGTGATGTTTTCCAATGTCTTGTTTAGCAGGAATCCAAAGCCCACATATAGTCAAAGATATTTCCTCATTGTCTATCACATGAGGTGGACAAAGGAGCACGACTGGAAGAGGAATTGTGTAAGGCTTGGACTTTGGGCTTGAAATACTCACAACAATAACCGAATATTTAAAATAGTTACTAATTCCTTTTTTGGGTTGCTCAATAGATTACTCAACTAGCCTATTTATTTCAGTTCTAGACAAAACCTTCGACTCTTTTCATAATACAGAGTGATACGCGAACTGAGGAGAAATATGACATCGGAAGGGACACAAAATCAAGTAAATAATAACCTAAAATCATTCAAAAAGAAGTCAGGCCGTTGTCTAACCCCGTTACCAAGGACTGCTACCGACGATTTAAAACGAAAATAAGTTATTTCGGGCAGATTGGTCGAACCGATTAGCCTCATGCTAGCGCGTTAGCTGCTTTTGCTAGCTAATGTCATCGAGCATTAACGTTACATTTAAACAGATACGGTACGTGCTGTATGTTGGAGCTGGCATCGTTTAGTTATCAGCAAGTACGAGTATGACAACACGTACTGTTTCAATTAGTAACCACACTTACCGCTGCGTATTTCTCTGGCTGAGCTCGTTGTTTGAATATCTACCAACAAAAGATGTGACAGATGTTTTAAGCCGGTGTGCGCATGCGCATAACCCACTGTAAAGACCTCCCACCGCAGCATCAGCATCATCTTTGCACACACCACACAGGCAGCCGGGACGCCCATTCGCAAATTAACCTGCTTTGCTGATGAGAGACAGAAAAGACAGCTGGAAAATGCACCATTTTGTGTATTTCGTGTATATATAAGATAACATAAAATGCATTGATCAAAGATATCAACATAACTGTTGTTTAAAATCATATCCTTAATATGGTCAAACTAATCAGCCCAGTTGCCATAGAGCCGAGGTTTTATAGCTGGTATAATCTAATGTATGTTACATTGTTGTGTACCTTTATCTACCTAATTATCTACCTATTAGTCTATCAACCAACCAGGTAACGTTAGTAGAAGGAAATCTGACCCAAAGTGTCAATGAGGACAGGTATGCTCTCTCCCAATGTAATGTATAATGTGTAGATATATATATATATATATATATATATTTAGTCAAATAGTTCATCATTTGTTTTTTAATTAAACAGATTTTATTTAGAAAAAACAACACGGACAATAATAACAAACGTAAAACATCAAGACATAAAATCTTTGCTTACAATGACAGTAATAGCACCATAGTCGGATGGTGGAATTAACATTTATTTTCCTTGGAATTATATCATGCTTTATGCCCTTGTCATTGCAGGTGATCAGCCATCATCACATCAAATAATAAATTATTGACATTACCGTGTTTATGAATTGCAGTAACATTCAATACTTGCGAAATGTACTAAATGTAACCCACCGAGGATGCTGTGGAACTTTATTCGGTTTTCGTGCTTCAAAACAAATCACACCAGCGGGAATGAACGACCATTTCTATTTCATTTCATCAAGATCAATGCGCAATTTGTTTCCCAAATCAGACATCATTTTATGAATACCGACATTACAACTACAAATGTATTAAGCCTACAAAACAGTTACAGAATATAATCGGTCCAATTTTAGATTAAAGAGTAGGTAAGAATACATTTAATTTTAATTTATTTCTTAATATTTTTATAGCTCAAGGCAATATGAGGTGTTTGTTTGACCTCTAACGTATCTGCACTCTGATGAAGCTATAAGCAAACATTAAAACATTTAACAATTAATATTACATTCTTTGAATCTTACTCATTGGAGGAAATGTCAGTGAGCAACAAATACTATGCGTGTTGTTATTGAATTCTTACCTTATTTTCATTTCATAATTTTTTGTGCTCTTACAAGTGACACGTTAATTTCCCTACAATATGTCACCACCAATATTTGTATTCATAAGGCATTGTACGGTTACTGAGATGCTCTCAAACTATATTCTGCAAATGTGGTAATTTTTTAGTGAGCAACGCAATAACTTCCTGCAATAGATTTCCTCATTGCAGGTTACACAGGAATGTGTTAGTTTCTAAACAAACTGCGTTGCTTCCAATGCATTGCCAATCTTAAGAGATCCTTTTACATGCGTGCCAGTATTAATCAAGGAACTGTATTCATACTGAAGCATATATGCAAACAATGTAGATTTCCATCAAAATGAATATGCCTTTTTGATCATCTACAGTATTTCACATTCATTGCTGCATGGGGTAGCTGCCAGGTATGAGGAGGTGCAGGAATGAAATGTGCCTTTGTGCAACCAGAATTCTACGGTTTTGTTTTATCTCCTTTGGTATACTCTTCACATGTTCCCTTTATATTTTTTTTTAGGAATTCCACTCCAATGGGTTTTTGGCATGAAAATACATTTACCTTTGAGGTGTTCTTTCAATACCTTTTTAAACATACTTTTGTATTGCCAGAACTATAAGGCTATAAAGTATAAAAGCTGCTGTACATGCAAAACGGCATACTTCCAAATTTCCCTCACCTCTCATCGCAGCTGACAAGATCAACATTTTTCTTGACTTTACATTACAAAGACGGCTGAGTCATAGAAAGTGGATTTCTGATCATGTTTTATATTATACAAAAATATGCTCCCACTTTGTTCTCACTGAAGCTCCCCTCTCCCCCTGCGGTTTATGGCTTTACATTGGATATAACAAATACCCTGAAAAGGAGGAGTGCACATACTGCCCAGCATAAAGTCCTGACGCCTGACCCGAGGGCAGTTGAAGATGCACAGTGTCCCCGGGTTTTAGAGGTAGTACTGCACTCCCTGATGCTTGATCGAGAAATCCCTTTTTGTGCTCATCATACGTATACATCACTGGCTCATTGTTCCTCATCAAAGCCACCCACACATTACCTCCTTTGCAATGAATGTGGTAGGCAAAGTAATAAATACCAGGCAGGTCACAGGTGAAGATTCCTGTCTCTTGGTTGTAGTTTTGGCGACCATTGTACAAGAGCTTATCAAAGATGACTGGGGTGTCCACAGGTGGAAAGGGAGTTGTTATTACTGCTGTGAACGCTGGCATTTCCAAACCAGTGGCACCCATCACTTCGGCCCCATCGCCTCCATACCTGCCCTTCTTACTATAGCCACCGGCCTTAACACCATCTATCCCAGGGCCCATCTCAGAGAGCACTCCTACCAGGTCTGGAGACAAACCAGATGCTCCAGGTGGGCCTGGCGGTCCAGGAAGGCCACGCTGACCTGGTTGTCCAGGGGTTCCTGGTGAGCCCTCTTTTCCTGGAGGTCCTATAGGTCCAGGAATTCCTGGATTTCCCACACCTGCAATGCCTGGTGGACCTGGTACACCGTTATCTCCTTTTGGCCCAGGAACCCCAGGCGACCCAATTGGTCCAGCTGTTCCATCCATTCCTGGGATTCCTTTAGGACCTTGAGGACCAACACCGCCAGGTAATCCAACTTGTCCCTTTGGCCCAGGCACTCCTTGGGAACCAGGGGTACCAGGTAGACCCTTGTGTCCATCGTCTCCTTTTGCACCACTTGGTCCTGGTGGGCCTCTTGGTCCTGGCTCTCCCTGCTCTCCAGGCAGACCATCTTTACCAGGTATTCCAGAGGCACCAGGGTCACCCTGGGCTCCATCTAACCCATTATGCCCTCTTTCTCCACAGTCTCCCTTTGGACCAGGTGCGCCTAAACCACCTGGGATTCCCATTGAGCCTGGAGGACCTGGTGGACCATTTGCTCCAGGGGGTCCAAGCATACCGGGTAGTCCTCCGTGGCCCTTATCTCCTTTTGGTCCAGGAGGTCCAAGTGACCCATCCATACCTTTATCACCCTTTGGTCCAAGGAGTCCTGGTTTACCAAATCCAGGAGGCCCTGGCTTTCCTGGCAAACCTGGTGGTCCTGGATGACCTTTCCCACCTGGCATGCCTGGCTGTCCTGGCAGGCCATTTTGACCTGGCTTTCCTTGACCAGGTAGACCTGGTGGGCCAGGCTGTCCTCTTTCACCAGATGGTCCAGCTAGTCCTAACTCTCCAGGATGTCCTTTCTCTCCTGGAGGTCCTTGTGGTCCTGGTGCCCCATTCAAGCCAGGCTTTCCAAAACCAGTTAGCCCTCGAGGGCCAGGCTGTCCTGGAGACCCTGTAAGCCCTTTGTGACCAGGTTGTCCAGGTAGTCCCATTCCTTTATTGCCTTTGGGTCCAAGTAGTCCCGGTAGTCCTGGCAAACCTTTGTGACCTGGCTCTCCTTTAGGTCCGGGTTGGCCTGGTAATCCCTGTCCTCCTGGTTTACCTATTCCTGGCAGCCCAGGTGGTCCTGGCGGACCCTGAGGCCCTGTCTGGCCGGCTGGCCCTTCTTCCCCCCCAGGGCCCATTTCTCCTTGGAGTCCAGCATCACCCTTTTCTCCTGGCTTTCCTGGCAGTCCTGGCAAACCTTGTTTTCCAAATCCGGGCCCTCCTGGTGGACCAGGAGATCCAGGTTGGCCTGCAAGTCCAGGCTGTCCAATCCCTGGAGGTCCAGGAGGACCCGTGGGTCCCTCTGGTCCTGGTGGCCCAGCAGGGCCTTGCTCTCCTTGGGGAATTCCCTCAGGCCCGCTTGGGATTGTCTGACCTGAGGAATGGTCAGACAAGGAATGAGATAAGATAAGATAGATATTCAGCCAGAGATTATGATTTTAAAAATATATAAACAACATTTTGGTTATCAACGGCACAAACACACACACATAATATAGACCCAGTTGGTATGTTTATGATACTATACATATATTTAAAAAATATTTACCTTTTGGGGTCTGAGCTCATGTGTTAAAAATGTGCATATGTGTTTATGAAAATTTTAACTTTCTCACCTTTGTCCTGGCCACCATGATAGCCGCCCCCTTTACGCGGGTTTTCTTTGCCCTTGTGCATAGGCATTGGGTGTAGCTCCTTCCTGTAGTGGGGATACTGCATATATGGTACTTCTTTGCCAAGATACTGTTGTTGGGGAAAGCCTTCTTTGCCCATGTGTTGGAGGTGCTGCATTGGTTGGTATTGCTGAGGGTGTTGCTTGTGTCCATAGTATGCCCCAGCACTCATATAAGTAAGTACTGCAAGCTGTAATAGTGTCAGCAACAGGGGGAGCGGACGAGGAAGCATTGCCATGGCCTGTATGGAAGGTAGAGAGGAACAGATACGAGGGATGGTTATGCGTTTAAATCCCATACATTAGAAAGTAGATGTGCTATTTTAGCACATTGTTTCCTGAAAAATGATGAACTTTCAAGTTTATGAGATAAGTAAACAGCCTCATTTTCAACATGCAGCTTGATGAGGTGACCCACTGCTTGATATAAATTGGAGCTACACAACAATCTGGGTCAGTTGCACTTGAGCGTAAAAGTGTAAACGATGAAAAGTGTCACCATGTAATATTATCATAGGAAGACAAGAGACGTTTTTTGTCTAACTGACTTTGCAATAGACAGACTGGTTAAGTGTGGGCCTTTTGCAATAGTTAAAAACATCATTCCAACCTTTTGAATGTGTATGCATTTTTTCATATAACCACCTTAAATCAACCACTGGAAACTATTAAACTGGAACTGGAAGCATACATTACAAACATTTGTTCAATACCTTTTCTGAAGATAGAAATAGAAAGAGGGGTATCAAGTAAATGCCAAACAACAACAGCTACAAAAGTGAATCACAACTGTCAGGTCTATGTATCTCTAATCAGGAAAAGCACATGGGCTATAATAAAAATGACCCATCTGGAGTCTTCCAAAATCTTACTTTTAGAACGTGATTTTGGAACATTTGGATCTCAGGAAGAACCTCAGAGAAATGTCTTGAATTCTGATCTCTGATCAGTCAGTATTTGATGAGTTGGGAGTGAAATCAGGTTGTTTCTATGAAATTCCATTGCAAAGCAACAGCTTGTGTCCAGGCTCACTTCCTGTCAGCGGATGCCATTCAAATAAACTGCACATTATGTGTAATGGCCGTTCAAAAGAGCATTGTTGTTGTTGATGCATTGCTCAGACGACATTTAACCGGGTATTTTACTCAAAAATTCTCAAGACACTCAAGTGAGTAGATGTCACACAATGACGCACGGATGATTTGGTGAGAAATGTCTATAGCCATCTGCAAGTGCTTATCAGATGTCTGGTCAAACAAGGGCAATTTTTAACAAACAGAGATACGCTCCAGCTGTGCGGTTCAACTGTATATTTATGTCTTTAACCCTATAGCTGCTTGAAATGGTCAGTAACAGCGAACGAGGCAAAGCAGGTTCAAAAGCAGGTGAATAACTAACCACAAACTGCTCCTCTGAGTGTCTACTTGTTTTATTTCGTCATTTACTAAGGCCATTTCCGTGCCAGTTTTATTTCACTTATGTTCTGCCACACTTTTTTTGTATTTATAATTTACATCCTTAGCCCCAATCTTTGTGTCTACTCCATCATAAACTCTTTGGATCTTTTCTGCCCTCTGACCTTTTCTCAGTCGAATGGTGATTTTGACGTAGCCGTGCCACTCTCTCCCCCTTTGAGAGCTGTCCTTTGAAAGAAGCCCACTTAGTTTCCACAGCGACAAAAGCCAAACATACCATAGATTTCGGAGGAATACGGCTCAATTTTCCCCAATGAGTACACAGACCTTTTTTTTGAACGCACCATGGAAGCTGTGAGCAGTTCCACAAATCCTAATGTCAGGTCTAAAGGCAATACACAGATGTAAAGGAAGTGGACGACAAAAGGTTCTCTAGATGCTACTAATAATAAAAGTAAAGAGAAATTGATACAGAGAGAGAGCGAGAGACTGATTCTTTGCAAAGGGTGACTCTGTATATGATGATGTATTATGTAGGTTACCTTTAAGAGGTTAGGGCTGGCTGTGGGGGTCAGAAAATGAAAATATTCAGACACAATTTTGCTTTACACATACTCTTTTTCACCATGTATTGATTAATAATCACAGTTTATAAATTATACTTTCCACAACATAATAGAGCCACGTTTGGCATGCACAAGTCTAAATGCAAAGAAAAATAAAATCAATAAAATGTTAATGACAATGTACGCAGCATCTTTAAAAAATCTTTTTTTTAAATGAAAAAATATAAAATTTCATTTCATTCAAAGGTGATCAATTATAATGCACAGCAGTACATGTTTCATAAAAGATCCCATTTTAAAAAAATATTCATCACTGGAATTTCTGTTTAGAGGAATTAGATGACAAAATGAGTGTTGAAAAACTTTGTCGTGTGTGTTTCTGTTTGTTTGTTCGCGTGTGTAGGGGAATGGGTGTAGGTGTCTGTAGCGTGAGATTGGGTGGGGAGGGTGCACAGGTGTTTTTAAAAAGTTGGAAATATTTTGACAAAACGTGCACCGACAACGAGGGTCTGTTCAGTGTCATTAGCAACACCATGATGTTGTCATGGCAACCGCAGAGTGATGGAAACACCCTCCGTCCTTACCTGCTTTCCTCCACCACATTAATCGACATACGTGTTGCTTGCAGAGAGACTTGTTTATACAGTCGGGCCACTTTCTGACACTTACCACCAAACTCCTAACTGCAGAGTTCAGTTATGACAAAAGCAACTATAGAGAATTCTACTTCACTTAGTGTCTCCCTCCAAATGACAGACATGAAGTCACTTATAAATCTGCAAAGTCATGATGGTGTCAGCAACATGTTGTAGGCTGTTTCTCTCATTTGTGAGATTTACAGTTGAATCTTTTTCATGCAGGTGTAAAACAATCCGCCTCCCTTAACGATGAATCACTGACAAGCAGTCATTCGTAACAGTGACTAAACAGGAACATTTTCAGATGTCACCCATGGTTTGGCTTAACAAAAGTGGTGAAGTGAGCCATGCTACCAAAAATCTTGAAATCTTGAAATTTGCTCAGGTTACCAATATTGTATATCCATTTAACAGTAGATTTTTATGTCACCTTATAAATAGTCAACAGTGAAATAGTGAAACAACTCTACATAATTCATCATTCACCTTTTCCCACTTGGCATATCCATTACATTCAGTAAATTCTGTCACTCAAAATGAAGCCAACAGATTTACGTTGAGAAACAGCTCAGAGGTCGACGGAGGTTCAAATATCCGCAGACTCGAATTTTTCAACATCTGTTGCCAAAATTGCGTGCAGCTGGTCATCCACCCGTGAGCTGTCAGCATGTCCTGCCGGCCCAGACAGTCTAAAAAAAAGGCAGATCTGAAAGTAGTCTACATTTTATGTAACGTATGTGTCCGCCTCTGTTTGCACAACTGTTTCCAGATGTCCATCCTTTATTTTTATATTTTACTAATTAAAACACACCAAATTCAGGTGTGTGACGTGTGAGGACTCATGGGCATCATGTGTCTGTGAGATGTTGTTTTTGTTAACCCACAGCCAGTTGGTTCAATGGTTTAAACAAGCTGCGAAAATCTCATTAAAAATGCAGCCGCTGTACGACCCTTAATAAATGTGTACCAAAGAATAAGGTTGTCATAACTACAGTGCGTGGGAATTCATTATTAATATTGAGGCAAGTTAAAATGCTTTGGTGTGACTTGTTTATTGTTATATTAATATTGTTGATTGTGTTTTTTGGGGGGTCAGCAACATTAAACATTAACAACAAATAGTATAATGATAACAATAATAATGCAGTGTTTTAAGAGAGCTGGCATGGCCATTCAAGTTATCGATTGTTAGCAAAACTAGTTCATAAGAAATCTTTAGCGGGTATTTCGCTCTAAACACAAGTACTGTGTGGAGCTTTTTAATGCTACTGAACTGGGAGGTTGAAAATTCTCAAATTGCCAGTCGGAAATTTCAACTGTAATGCCGCCTGAAGTAAGAACCCTAAAGCTGGTTGAATCTTACCAAAAACGGCTTAAGAATCCAAGGCAGCTATGCAAAAATAAAGAAAAATGGTTAATTTTGCGTTCATGAGCACTTTGGTCGTATTTAGCGGCGTTACGAGTTGCAGTCAACCGGTATTGCCAACAGTAGCTATCCTTGCTCGAGTAAACCCCTCTAGGTTTACAGACTTGTTTGTACTGAATCTCAGTCATCTCGAGTGTGACGCTACTCCTTCCTCTGACTTCTGATTTCTGAGTTATATAAGAATTAGTCAAATTTGAAGAGTCAAAGTTATTTTAGGGGAAATTGACAAATTATTTGATTTAGGCTGCAAACTTGTTGTTTTGGGGAAATGTGGAAAAGTGTTTTTACACTGTGCGTTAAAGCTAAAAATAGCAACATGGAAGCATAGCGTAATAAATGAAAAGGTTATGCAGATATGTTTAAGTTTGCATCATACATACTTGCGAATGCTTGACAGGATCACTGATATTGATTTAGAACAACTGCCAGCGGATCCCTCAGGTGTCAAAATGAACCTGTTTCTGGTGGGCTTGATTCATATTGTTCACTCCACACGCATTGAGTGGCAGAGTTCAGCTGGGGGGACGGGTCTCCCAACATTCTTCCTCTTGTCTCCAGACACATCTGTCTATCCTCATTCCTCTGTCAGACAACTGTCTTCTCCCCATCTCCCTTTTCTTCCTGCGGGTGTCTCTGCGTGAACAGAGCAATGCCTGTTCTGCACGTCCTTCCCCCTCTGCCTCGTTTCTATCGCTTCCTCCCTTCGGAAACATCCAGGTTCAGTGACCTGAAGCCAGTCTGTGACCTTGCAGACGGAGCATCTCCTTAAACCACATTGCTAACAGAACAGGGACTGGCAACACAGAAAGGATGTAAGAGGTGAAATAGCAATGAACACATTATGTGCTAGGATTTAGCAATCCATCTTGTGTTTGAGCATTAACACAGGTACACATGTATTTGCTTTGCGTGTGCTTTAAGTTTATATTTTTTAATAACGGAAGAAAGGGGTATTTAGCACCTAAATGCTCTTCCACTTTCTCCTTTCGTAACCAGACCAAAGGCTGGTGTTTAAATCACAGAGCAAAGCACATTGCCTTCCTCCCTGCGCCGCAAAAAATCTACAAATTTACACATAAGCAAACCGCCCCATTGCACTCAACCTTGGTTAGTCCATTGATGACGTGTTTTCGCATAGAAAGGGGAAAAGCGTTTTGAGCTCCTCGGCTCCCGAAATGCAGCTTTTATCACGGAGCACCCCTCATAAAATGAACACCTCTTCAAGTCACGTTGCAAACGTCCTCGTTCAAACAGACCTCGTACACAAACTAAAGGAATAGAGGTACTGCACACACACACACACACACACACAGTGCCACAGCTGTGCAGCTAAATGAGCAGTGTTTACCTCTGTCCCTCTCCTTCACCATATACCATTATTCTGGCTTTTCTTCCCTTTGTCCAGTGCATTCCTGGAGTTGGCGGAATAATGTGTACAGCAGGGTACAATGTGCACACACACATACACACACACATAAGTGCAAGCAGGCTGATTCATGTGCACAGCACCAGCGTCTGTTGCACTTTCTCACACTAAGATCACTGCAAGCACCATACACAGATTTAATACTGTGAGTAAGCAAAGGAGAGAGAAAATAGGATTAACAGATGAAGGATCCCTTATGATGTGAGGGACAGTGAAAACCTTGAGAAACTGGTGCAATAGTTTTATTTGAACACAATATAATATGCATTTAATTTTAGATGCTTAGGGATTATTAAGTGAAATGACCTTGAAGAACGGAAGAGAAATGGATGGAAATTTCTTGAGGCCAAATCCATGTTGATTCTACAATTCCCAAATGGATCCAATATTTTATAATAAATTCAATGTGATGCAACTAAAAAACTGTGTTCCTTTTAAAAGGTTTTGTTCTCTTAAGGCAGATCTGTTTAAATGGCCGATGACTTTCCTGAAACACAGTTCAGCTGTAGCATCACTCTAACAGGCCTTTATGAGGTGAAAACCTAAACTCTCTAAACACATAGATTTAAATAAACTGATTTTGCCCTCAATCAGGTGTGTCCTTTAGTTGTCGCCGTGACTGACAAGGCAGAGAATCGATGCAAAGGCCAGAGAGACAGAGCTGCTCAGAGCCTCTGTTTGCTCTGCAGTCTCTTCTCACCAAACTGCTGCTTATAGCTCCGTCACACACATCTGACAGTTTGGCTTCAAGGAAAAAGCAGACAAAGTAGGGATGCAGCAGCCTTGGAAACTCCACTCCAGCTTAGCAGATGTTTCGCCTGCCTCTCTGCAAGATGATGTGCCGGATTTACGCTAACGGTCACGTTAATAATGATAAACTATTGTACGTATGTGTATCATGTTATATTTAAATTAGAGCTATAAATAGCATTAAAATGGATAAGTTGTGAAGAAGGAATCATTTCATTTTAAAAGAGTGAAAAAAACTATTTTCCCAATAAAAATATTTTCACCATGCATTCCTCCCAAATTACAATTTCTATCATAACAAAATGTAAGTGAACAAATTAGAAGATATATTGAATGCATATTATTTAGTTGAACAACACTAGCAGAAAGAAAAGGAAATCAAACAACTATCAAACCGCTGCACCATAAAAAGTTGCACCAATCGTACAAATAAGAGCTTTAAACTCATGTAAAACACACAATATAATGATAATAGGACAGTGCTTACCTTTGTGAGCGGCCGTTTATGGGGAAATAATCAATGCAGTCAGGCTAAGAGCCGGAAAAGCAGGCGCACAGACAATCACACAGAGAGAACCCTGGGATTTGTGCTCATAACAGACGCACACTTTGAGGACCCAACTTATATCTACTGGAGGGTGGAGCCACTCGGGTGGGTGGGAGAGAGAGGGAGAAAGAGAGGGCAAGGGAGGGATGGAGACTGGACTGAGAGTAAAATTATAACCTCCCAAATTCATTCATTAATGTTGTGATCTTTGAGCCCATGCATGCCGTAACCAGTATTTCATTATTAAGGCCGAACACACTGGAGCTGGTTTAGAGATCAGCTGCCCTGGGACACACCTGGGGGGGCGACTGTAAAATAATCCATGTGGCACACACACATACACACAGACATTACCAGCCGTAAAAGTAACATAGAAATTAGAAATAGGTATATATATATATTATGGTGTGTCCATATATCTTATACCATATATATCTTCCAGATAATGACCGATATATATATATATATATGTACCGTAATTCACCGTAAAACTGGATTAAATATTGGAAATATGAGCGATACAAGTTAAGCGAAACGTATTGCTGTAATTAAACTTCAAATTCTGTGGCATTACTGAGGTCAAATTTGAACAAAGGGCTGTGGATAAAAATGTATTACATTTGCATAAGTTACACTGCAACATTCCAAGCTTTTTGTTGAAGTCCTACAGGGGTCATCTCCTAAGAGTGAAAGCTTGTTCTCCAGAAGCAGAAAACAGTAACTTCTGATCCTGACACACACACCTGTCATAGCAACGGTGTGGCAGATTTGGTCAGCAGGAAACCTGGTGAAAAGCTTCTCCATGTGGACTTGGCGTGAGTGCACGGCCGGCCTAAAAATACTAAAAACTAAAAATACTCTTTCTCAGAGGGTGTTTGTTGGTCAGGGATGACAGACTCTTTCCAAGGCAGGTTTGACACCTGTCCACAAACAGCTTAGAAACTCTGACGTGTCCAGGCAGTAACTCTTATTAAACCGTGTGTACATACAGCACGACCCTGTCTGCTGCACCTCGGCCATGACTGCGTGTTTTCTCTTTTATTTCCTCTACGTCAATCACTGTTTTTCTTGCTCACGGAATTCCAGATACAGAACAGGGGCAAGCAGTGTGTCCTGGTTAAGGGTGGCATTGTGTGTGTGTGTGTGTGTGTGTGTGTGTGTGTGTGTGTGTGTGTGTGTGTGCGTGTGTGTGTGCGTGTGTGTGTGTGAATAGTGGCTGCGTGCGGTTCCAATGTGACACAGTGGTGTAAAAGGGTGGATGTCCTGTTGCACCTCTGACAGCCAAGTGTCAGCTCAGTCTGTAGCTCAGGACTGTCAGTCTTTTGTGATGATGCGATGATGTTCTCAGTGGTCCTAAAATGTTTGTTTCCATGTTGATTGAGGATAGCATTAAGAGATTATTGCTTAATTATTGTCCATATTGGAAAACCATCAATATTTCTGTTCTCTTCATTGTTATAATGTTTGTATATCTAATGTAACCATAAGATCAAATAATGGATTTTTTATCTCTTAGCTTTTAATGGTTCGAAGAAGCCGCCCACTCAAACGCATATAAATGCAATTACACCACACAAATACACACACACACACACACACACACACACACACGCATACATACACGCAGGCGCAGGCACACACTTAGAGTTTCGGTGTGAAAGGTACACGATAACCAGGGGGTAATGAGTTGTGTGTGTTTGCCCTCGTGCTTCAATTCTCTTCCTGCTCCATTAATGAAGCCTCAATAGGCCTCAAACTGCTTCTCTCCATCCGGCCCGCACCTGTCGTGCTGCACGCTGCTGCGTGTGAGAGCAGATCCTGTGACTCGTCTCAGCTTGTTTTCGTTCCCTTCAGGATCCGGGTCATTCACAGCTCACAAAGTGGGCAACAAACTGGTGAACAAAGTGGAGCATTTAGACATCCCCCTCCGCAATTGGTGGAAACCAAAAAAACAAACTCAATACTTGTTCCGTGTGCTAACTATTCGCACCACGCTGTGTTTGCCTTAACGACTTTATACATGAATGCCGTCAAGTGATGAAAAATGTGTTCATTCAGGTTTAAAGGTACAGTGCGTATAGCATTTAGGGAAATGTGACATGATACAAGTATTGAAGCCGGCTGCCATATGTCTACAGTAGCCCAGAACGGCTTTTGGTGTGTCCATTTGTGCTTTTTCGTGTCAGCCACTAGTTAAATAAAACAGACTAAACTGCCAGCTTTAAAATACTTGGCTAGTAAAGATACATAGTTGTAAAGTTGCAGTGGCGCTCATGAGAGTTGGGCAGAAATTCATACGACGCTCTTCACTGCCTGATGATAAACCTATAGATTTTTCCTTACAAGAAACCCAGACAAACAATCAGGGGGCATATTTTGGTTGCACTTACCCAAACACAGAATTGTCTGTCTTTGTTTTCCCGCCATCTGGCACGCCTCCTCATGAGAGAGTTTGTGATGCGTATTATGCATGACATTGTCCAGAGGCCCTGGATGAGACGCACACTTGCAGCACTACGAAAACACTCATTTGGTCCTACTATGAATACTGCTTATTAATAGTGAGAACAAGTGGACGGCAGACAGACTGGCATTTAGACCGCTGATGCAGTATGTGTGTCGGTGTGTGGAAATGTGCTCAACGTGTATTTGTAAATTACTGGGCAATCTGTGTGCTCTCTGTCATTTGTCGCTGTCCGTGGCTCGATCCTGGTCTGCAACTTTCGCGGATCATTTTCTGTGACCTCCACTCCTTAAACCGTGCGTGCCTCCGCGACTATCAAGGTATCCGAAGGCGTTCAGCATCTCACCGTCTCTGCTTCACGGCATCGCGGCAACTGCACATGCATCTTTGGTACCATTTGCACAGCTGTGTGCTTATTGGTTACCGTGATATAGTAGCCCATCACCTCAGTAAATGACAGTTTAAAATCTGTATTCAACAATTAAGCTGCTGCTTTCCCATAGTCCCTGATCACTTATTCGGATGCGTTTATGGCATCTGAGTTTGTAAGGCGGCCACATTCCTTGCCCCTCTCTTCACCATGAGGCAATCTCGGAATTTGCAGAGCAAACAGGAGTAAACAGTGTCTGTGTCACCTCTCGTCCGCAGGGACAGACCGCTGTGGAATTCAGACGCGCCAGCGAGCAGCTAAAAATACCAGGAATCTATGAAACGGCCGGTGTCAGCAACATGAGGGTGACATGCTTTATGCTACTTTCCCTTTTCTTTTCTTTTTCAAATTTGTAATGCTGGGTCCCCGTACTGCTATAATAGAACACATGTCCCCATGCCAGATTCTGGGTAAATATTTAGGTATGAATGATGTCACCCACTGTTATCCAGAGGCTGGGAGATTCTTCACGCAGACAAGAACATCCTGGTTATACCTGCGATGCTTTTCAATGTGTATCAGTGTGTAGTCAGCTTCTTTCTTTCAAGACTTATTACTATTTACTATTTTGAACTTTTGCCCCGTGAACAGTGAACGTTGACCTTCCTCCACTGACCTTAAAGGTCACGCTGAACTAACCCCACACGTGAACAATGGAGGGCAGTAAACCAAGCAACTCCAAACTACGTCAAGAGAATATTTATACAACACAAATCCTGCTTTCACCACCAGCAGGTCCAATTTAAATTCCTCATCTTGGAAGTTAGAAAGGGTTAGCAGGCTAACATGCTAAACCACTCGAACAAAGATAAAGTTATTACATGCCTATTTATTGGCCATCAACCTAATGTTCACAAGCATATTGTCGAAAAATACACATGACAGCTCAACAAACTCTTTGTGGTTCAAACTCTTTAAGGTAGAGCGGAGAAACACACCCGAGTGATTTATACATAGATTCATATGAGAGCCTTTCTGTTGTGTTAAAAGTGCTGATAAACTTGCGGCCTGCAGATTGCAAACACACGTAGCGCTGAGCACTTTTTAGTTGACTCCAAAAATCCCAAAACAAGTTGCAAAAGATTTGCCTAAAGATTCCAATGCTTACTTCTTCATTATTATTCTTTCAAAAATCTACTTGAAGGGCTCCAATTAAGAATAAATAATTGTAGTTTCTCCTCTATGACTGGATGTTTCCTTAAAACATCTACAAAACGTATTCAGCAAAATACACCGTATGATGTGCATTTGGTTTAATCAAATGTTAGCCAACTGGTTCCACAGTGTACAGTTCCACGTGGGTTATGATGACCGTGCAGCCTTCACCCCACACCTGCAACACTCGGGGTGGGTGCTGCTCCTTCCTTGCCCCGCTCCGTGGGTGTAGCAATAAATCACCGGGTTTAAGAGTCCCCTGTGTCACTTCAAAAATGTCCCTCTCGCCACCAACAAGGCCAGAGGTTTGTTATTCGTTTTTTTTAAGAAAATAAGCTTGTTGCTCACACAGTGGGGCTCCCAAGACTTGTACCACCCCCTCCCTCCGTCCCAGACCTCCACCCCGTGAAACAAATGCACTCTGTGGTGTTTGAGAAGTGAGGCGTTCCAACGAGGTCAAATTCCCACAGCTTTTACTTTATCTCAATAGAATAGTCCTGTCTGGCATGTGAACGTTATTTGTATCTACTGCACAATTTAGGTTACACACAAATTTGTATAATTGTGTCATGTATTTTGAGCAGAACAGAATGTTTAATACATCCCTGACTGGGGGATCCTATCGTTCAGGGCCAAGCACCATGACCCCAAAACCCACAGTCTCCACTCAGTCTAACCTGTCCAAACCCACTGGCTACATTCATTCACATCCTGCTGTACATGTGTCTCTGTCTCCAAGTGAGTAGTGGGCTTATTTAGCTTTGTGAGTTTCCTGTGAATGTACAGGCGGTACCCCCTCCCCCCCCCCTCTCTCACAGCTGGTCTGTACTGAGACAAGTCTTCACACAGCGGTGTTGCAGCAAAGCCCCCCACATGCACATAGGCGTACACGTACGCAAACATGTGCACGGCCTCTCTTCCATAGCCTTCTCATTCCACACGTTGAAAAACACATACGCAGGCCTACGATCCATTGCCTCAGTCAACAGGCTGTAACATTCCTGTCTCTCACCCGG